AGGGAGGAAGGAAGGGAGGGAGGAAGGAAGGGAGGAAGGGAAGGAGGAAGGAAGGGAGGGAGGAAGGAAGGGAGGAAGGGAGGGAGGAGGAAGGAAGGGAGGGAGGGAGGGAGGGAGGGAGGGAGTGAAGGAGAGGGAAGGGAGAAGATAATGAAGAGGATGGATGGACTATTGGATAAATGAAGGAATGTTTTTTCAAGATGATAGATATACAGAAAGTATTATTTTATAGAACATTTGCAGTCATTTGCAGTAAAACTTCAGTTAGTATTTATACTACTATGCAATTGATTTATTTTAGGAGTCTTTCTTCACACCTGAGATATTTGGTGAAGTTCTGTACAATAACTATTTGTTTGATATCCCAAAACTGATGGACATTTGTGCTATTTATGGCGGAGCAAACAGCGAAAACCTCCCATTGCTGAGAAAAATGATTGACAACATATTTGACAAACAACCAAGGTAGACAAGTATTATGTTGTTGATAATTGGTTGTTTTGAATAGAAGCTTGATTGATTGATTAATTGATTGATTAATTGATTGGCTGATTGATTGATTGATTGATTGATTGATTGGCTGATTGATTGATTGATTGATTGGCTGATTGATTGATTGATTGATTTGCTGATTGATTGAGGTTGTCTGAATATACTGACATAATTGATCCTGATTCTCATTGATTGACAAGATGATTGATTCAGTGATTGTTTGATTGATAAACAAATTGTTTATTTCTAGATATTATGATGATTTGAATGAAACCATTCCATCCCTACTAGCAACTCTGGATAATACACTCACTAAATGTGGAATTAAAGATCCTGATAGCAACTCTCCTCAAAAACTCAATAATTCCAAAAATACAGTGAAAGAACTTGAATCAAGTGAAATATTTGACATTATTCTTTATCTGTCTGATATTGGACATACTATTAAGAACTTTATGGAAACCTTTCCATCATCCTGCCAACATTTTCTTAGACATGGAATAGTTGGTAGGATTGCAGCGTTCTTTGAAATGATAATACCTTTCTTGGAGAGGGAAGTGAAATATCGAAGGCTGAAGACATTGAGAGTTTATCTACAACATGTTGTGATGACATTGTGCAGTGTTTGCAGTGTTGTGATCAAGACTTGTTGCCTGGATCCCTTGATACAGAGGTAAGATGAAGGCACACAAACAAGGGAGATTGCTCCTGCAACATGCTTCTACAACAGATTTGCCCCTTAAACTTGCTTCTTTATATTTAAAATTTTTGAAACGAGGGAAAAAAGCTCTAGAGCAAAAGTTTTGTCGYACAACATTTTCATTTGAAATCTTTCGTGCAGACTAGGGGGCTTTTATCTGGGATCATGTTGTGGAGAAAGCTCCACCTGTGTGCACCAGCCTTAAGTGTTCTATGTCTTCAATGTTCACTCTCACTTTTTATAATAAATTGTAGATTTCTCACTATGCTCGTGGTTCCACTTGAGTTTTGAGCATTTTTAACATCAATTTCATTGTCAATATTGTACAGACAATGGAAAACCGACCTGTGAATTGTTAAATGTTACATGTAGTTCACTTAATTCAGTATGCATCCATTTACTAGTATGCATCTATCCATCAATTCATTTGTTCATCCATTCATTTATTGTCCATTCAAAACTGTTTATTTGTTTATTTATTTATTCAGTTGTTTTGTCATTCATTCATAATTTTTTCATTTCCATCTGTTCATCCATCCATTTATTCAATTTTCTATTCTCTAGTTCACCAAATTTAGAGGATGTTCAAAGGCATACTGAAGACTATGTACAAGYGTTAACTTCAATATTGTCAGAAAAGAGGTAAGATTGATTTTACCTGTTGACTAGAAAAAGCTACCAAAGAGATTGAAACCTCCATTCTAKAYCATTTGGCTCTTTTTTGGATGTTGTTTGGCAGGTTTTGAGGTTTATTCCCACAGAAAGGAAAATGGCTTGTGAAGTTGTCAAGATTGTTTGATGTGATTGTTCAAATGTTCAATGRACTGTCCTGAAATTGGTGATAAATGATCCTATATTCTGATTGGCTACTCAAATGAGTTCACCAAAAATATTCCATGTCATGATAAATTATCTTGATATTACAAATATATTGCCAGATGTTTTCAACTAATATAAAATTTTCTGTAGGTTCGTTAGTTGTTATGATGCTCACTTCAGCATAGAAAACGATCTTATCACAATCCAGTCATACCCAGGCTCCTCTCTTGATGGTACTAGAGTCCAGTACATCATAGATGCTATCCATAGTGCACAAAATAGTTACCCACCAAAAATAAGCTCAGCTAAACCTACAAAGGATGATGGGAAGACCGAAGTCAATGGGATATTAGAGGAACCTGGTACTAGTGATTTAACATCGTGTGATGCACAGGTAGAAGAAAGCAGTCTTGAGGTAAGTTATTTTTGTCTGAAGAATTTTTTTTACTACCATAATCCTTTGCGCGTGGGTATCGGTTTCGGTGCGGTCGGTTTTTCAGAGCCTTTCAGAACAATGAAACCTACGAAAGAAACTAAAAGATATATCTCCGCGGTCCATATCGCTGTGAAAAGTTTTGGAACGAACGTCGGAATAAGCTTTGATCATGAGGCAGTTTTGATTCTTCACTATTTATATTCTTATGGACTTCTGTCGCCTCGAAAATACCATAAATGACAAGTYTTTTTTATTAATTCTTTGAAGGCCCCAGCAGCCTCACTTCCGCGTCATGACGTAGATCCGGTTCAGTTGGAATCCATGGTAACTAGTGTCCGTGACTTGCTGCCCGACCTGGGGGAAGGGTTCGTCATAATGTGCTTAGAGCAATACAACTACGACATTGAAACTGTCATCAACTCGTTGCTAGAAAACAAACTGGCGAACTCTTTAAATAAACTCGATCGAAATATGACTAAAGCACAGGCTATCAGCTCTAGAAACGAAGCCAAAACTCTAATTTCAACGAGACATTCAGTCTTTGATAAGGACGAGTTTGATGTTTTTACAAAAGGAACAAAAGTGGACCTCTCTAGGGTGCACAAGGGTAAAAAACGTGACGATACAAGTCTGGGGTCGCTATTGGCTGATAAGGATCATGTGACAGATGCTATGAAAGACCGGTTTAACCGGTATGACGTGTATGGACAGTTGAATAAACCTGAAAACTTTGATGAGTATGATGATGAGTACGACGACACTTACGATTCGCTGGACGTCGGTGCACAGGATGATGACTCTGCAGACGAGCTAACTACAAGAAGGTATGCTTCTGACCCAGATATCGGGCTTCCTGTGTAGTGAAGTGACCTTTTTTTTAAAATATGCAGATTGATTTTCCGTTGCCCTATACAATAAGGCACAAAAGAGAAAAACTAACTGTTTTTCTTACTTATGTTCTTTCAAAGTCTCTTAACGCACAAGTGATTATCTTTTCATACTTCTCTATTAACAGGCCATTTACCGTCCCTCGGATACTCGGAAAAGCCATCGAAGAGTCGTCCAGTGAAAGCGATGATGCAGGTACTGAAGAGAACGAACAGAACCCGAATGAAGAGAAGCCGTCTGAATCCCAGGYCAAATGGCGCACCCCAGATAAGAGGCCAGGTCATAAAGGGTATTACACCGAGGGCTACGCTAACAGGGGGCGTGGACAACAGCAGGGTAAAAGTGAACCCTCAACGGGACCCAAAGGAAATAAAGCTAAAGGAAAAGGAAAAGCCCCTACAGATCCCTCAACGTTAAAACAGCGAGCCAATAAAGAACGACATAAAAGTCAGAGAGCAAATCATAATAGAAAAGCTGGYGCTGAATGGAAGAGAAATAAAGGGATGGGTGCACTTCCTAAGCAATGAATGGATGTGAAATGAAATGGAAAAGTGGAAATAATTGAATGAAAATGAATATATAGTTATCCTTGATACTCGTTTGTTTTAGCTCGTTGGCAGTTCTACTGTAACTTACGTCGTTGTGGTTATGAGACTTAAAAACACTGAAAATAAGATGTGTAATGTGCAATAGACAAAGCGCATTGCAGATTTATAGAAAWTCCGACAAATAAAAGTGAGAAAATCACAACAGAACTGATGAATTAACTATGATGTATGTTTATTRARAGTTWGGAGAGTGGAACTCGTGATGCAACATTGTACGCTGGAACACTGCTATATTGACTCGTGTGGATGGGTAAGGAGGGGTGAAAACAACTCTCCTCACCACATCCCCACCCCTTCCATCTCCCCTTCCATTCTCCCCTAGAGCTGCATGGCAGATTATGGTTTCTGATGTCTATATAAAACAAACTTATTATACAAGAGAAACAGTACCGTTTTCGTATCTCTGAATCGTGCTTGTGTTCATGTAGTGATAATTCGAGAGCATTTYGGCTTTTCCTACATAGGAACATCGTCAATGCGGTTACTGGCACTGGCCAATCAAAGATTTGAATTACATTGCGTCATGTACTCATCAACCAATCAAAACGAAGACATAATTTCTTCTTATCGTGACGCCACAAATCAATTATCGAATTACGCACTAATTGGTTTAGAATTTGTAGAACTTCGCGGAGATCACAAGTTTTGATTTGCGCAATTGAAAAATTGTTTTTAAATCGTACATTTACTTAAATTCAACGTCTGATTGAAAAAAGAAGAAAGTTTTAAAACTTAAATAATGTCTAATGCTGTTTTTTGGTAAGTATTTGCTCGTTATTTTGAATTAAAAGTTATTTTCTTGCTGTGCACGCGTAGTACCGAACTATTTTTATGTTTCAGACCCACATGGATCGATACAGACGAGCTAGAGAAAATCACCGACAGAGRCCACGGCCAAGAGGTCTGCTAGCTCGATGTTGGCGCGCTGTTGTAGGCGTAATGTTTTACTGCATTGTTAACACGTCAGCAACAGACGAGGAGCTACCAGGTAGGTAGATTCACCCGTGAGTCCTCTTTTTATAAAGTAAGAAAGAGAGAGAGAGTACAGACGATGTGAGATAAAAAATGATGCAATAAATTTGATTAAAAACCCTAATGACAGGCCAATTGTACATTGGGCTCATATTCTAAAACGAGGCAAGATTTTGCGCGCGCTTTTTTTCTCGGTTCGTGATATATATTGGAATCGCGCGCACGTTATTCCAATGCTACGTCGATTAGATGTAAACATTTGCGCTTTTAGATTTTTTCATATATTTCCAAACTTAAAGTTTCGTATTATTCATGTCAATAAAAGCCAGTATTCTCATTTCACTATCTCTTTATTCCCATTTCACTATCTTTTTATTCCTATTCCACTATCTTTTCCCATTTCCACTATCTTTTTATTCCTAATTCACTTTCTTTTCTTTCTTCATTTCTAGAAGAAGCTGTAAATGATATTCGACCACCACGTCATGATGCCAACATTAACACAAACTACCCACAAAACTATAACAACAATTCTCAACACGAAACACGACATTGGAACTCAACAGCCAATCAAACTCAAGATATCGCATTACCACGTGGCCGTTTTAACACGAGCCAAGAGTCGAGAGAACAACATTTCGAGAGAATCAAGCAACCCCTTGAACAAGATGCAAAATCAAGGGAGGCTGTTGGGAAGTTCAATGAGCTCGAAGCCAAAGCAATACCAACGCCTCGAGACTTGTACAAAAAACCTGAAAGTGATGACGAGCACAATACGGCAGACGTTTGCAAAAACAGTGCTAGTACCTCAACCACTAATGACGCCGATGAAGAAAGTACTTCCTCAAATGAAAAAGTAAAGTCACAAGAGCATGTTGAGAAGCTCTATAAACCTCAAGCCAAAGTAGCTCCAACACCTCGAGCCTTGTACAAAAAACGTCAAAGAGACAAAGCTTGCAATACAGCTGGCAAAAATACTGCTAATGCTGTAAGCACTGATGACGAGAAAACGACGTATGCTCAAAACCCAATTCCTCCTACAACAAAGCCAAGAAAATCTCAAAAAAAGAAGAGAATTTTCAAACTGAAAAAAGCAGCCAAAGCTAGAGGTTCAGATTTATCCCAAAGGTCATCCTCAAAAGATGATTCCAGCAGTTCAGCTACACTCTCTGACAAAGAAAAACCAGCCAGCGTTAAGAAGAGAGATGTTGATGAACACAGAGCTGTATTCTATGAACCCGATGGAAGACGCAMGGGTGGAGAGATAATCCCTGACTATTACGAATTCTTAATTCGGGTTCTGAACACTGGTTACAAGGCACCTTCCCAGGCAGGCACTGCAGCAGAAGTCGAGGACAATAAWCACGTGACACAAGATAGTGGGCAGGTAACACAAATAGAAGAAAGTTATAGTGCTTATAGAAGGAGGCAATTCCGGGAGAAAGCCCTTAGGAATAATTTCGGAAAATTTAATTTCCGACCTCGCTGGGATTCGAACGCACGACCTTCGGATTTGTACTACCGATGCTCTACTAGCTGAGCTACAAGGCCAGACTGGGAGCAGGTCGGGGTGAAATAGATGTTTGGAATTGCCTCCTTCTAAGCACTATAACTTTCTTTCATTTCTATATCTGTTCTATCATAGTGCCATGCGGTCCTCATATTTTTTATCTTGGCAGGTAAGACAAGTCCAGTCACATAGCAGCAAAGATGACTGTCCTCCATATGGAGTCATGACAACTTCACTTGCCGATGTCTGTACCTGCCAATCACCACTTCCAGATGTAGAAGTCAATCAGCCTAAGAATTGGCCAAGTTACCTTCCCAAATTCAGAGAAATTATTCCCATTGAGGTTGAGCTAGGTTTAAGGCCACCTCGAGGTTGAATTATTTCTTTAAGTGTTCCTAATAATTTCTATTATACATGATAATATTATAAGTTTAAGATTTATCAAGTTGGACTGTCACATTGTTGCAAGTTGCAATGTGTAGGGTTTTTGACAAGATTTTAGAATATAAACGTCATAATATAATAATGCACCGAACGGTAGTACACTCAAAAGGCAATGATATATTTTATATTTTCTCATAAAGACCCTTATGTACATGGTTATTTATATATTACTTACAATAATCACTAATAAATTTTGCTAATTTTGAATCAAGTGTCATGATAATTTGGCTGCTAATAATACAATGGCTACACTTCCAAACARGAACAATGAAGGACCAAGTATTCCTGTTGTTCTTGAGTAATCTGGAAATAAAGACACTATATTTAGTGAGGAAAATCTCTTTTTCTTCTCTCTTAAGATTGATTCACAAGAGACTAAAATATAAGCAAACAATGTAAGGAATGGAAGGGTTTTTTTTTCAATTTCTTTGTCTGCAACAGTGATCATTATTGAACTCAACTACGGAATTAATGCTCTCTCCCTCTATCTCACCAACTGCCTCACTCTCTGTCTTTCCCTCATCCCCTCTATAAAGCAAGACTACAATAAAGGAGTAAATAGACAAATAAATAAGGAAGCGTACAAAACTGAATAAATGGATGACCATGCAGACAGTAAGTGAAGAAATTAGTCAGTGAATTAGTGAACAACTTCAAAAAGGAATAAAATGACACATGCTATAATACAGCTTTTGTGGGTACTAGTAATGCTAATTTACTTTAGTTATTAACAAAATCATTATGGCATTGTTATTGCATGCATTACGACAGGATGAAGCTATGATACATTGATCAATATCAGTCCTATTTCTGCTCGCAAGGCAATTGACAAGTGTCCTACACAATAAACAGTGATTATAGAGATGTTTTACAAACGGAAATGTTTCCATGAACTTAGAATTTCGTTATTATTCCTTTTAGTTTTACATGTAATTCTTAASGTAGAAATTTACTTTACAACAGAGTATGCACTCGATGAATAAAGCTGAGGTTAGAGACATTAAAATGAAGTGAAACATGGATGTGCAACAAGTAAAAAACAAAAAATTAAAATCTCTAACCTTAAAAATAAAAACAAATCCTTTATGAGGTGCCTAGAGTAAGAAATGCCAAACAGTGTGGCATAAAGATGGCATGAGATYGTGTATGTCAAAAATCAGACTTGAATTTAASCACGTCTTTAACATACCACTAGGGACCTCCTCTTCATTCACTTCCCACTTCATGCATCTCTTTACTGCTTTCTTCCACTTATTATAATGTCCATCTCGATCTGTTAATGTAATATATAAACCATAAAATAAACAATTATGTCATATTATTGACAACAATTAATAACAAAATAACTATTAAATATTGAACAATCATATTATTGACGTTTTCCAAATGATTCAACATCAAAGCTGAGACCAAAAAGGTTTTATTTGAAGTTACAGTAATTAGATGAATTCATGTAATAATAAGCTGTTTATTTTAACAAATTACTAACAATTTAAAGTAACAATATAATTAATTTTCACCAACAGCTACACTGTAAATATTTTGTCACGTCTTCTGTGTTCAATCACGTGGAATATCTCAATGAAAGTATATCTTATGAAATTGATGTTTTATAATAAAGCAAACAAATACCTTTAATGTCCATAGCAGGTTTGAATACATCAGTGTTAATCTGTGACTTATCCTCTGGGTTTAGTTCCCATACCTCTATCCCCTTAGCTGCCCCAGCAGCCATTGCAGCACCAAGTGCTGTAGTCTCTGGCATTGTAGGGCGCTCTATAGATATGAAACCATGGATTAATTTAGATTGGAACAGAAATAGGATAGGATAATTATTGAGGGTGTGACTCACCAAGGGCTATATAAATAGTGAAGTTATTATGTTAGTCTATAGATAGTGAGTCGGTATCTACTTACCGACATTTATACCAAGGATATCAGCCTGTAGTTGCATGAGTAGGTTATTGGCAGTCATGCCACCATCAACCAACAGACTAGCTAAGGGTATACCACAATCTTCATTCATTGCATCAAGTAACTATGATTATAAGTAACATTATGTAACTGCAAATATATGTGTTATTTGATTGGAAAGGATGGATGGATATATCAATGAATGAATGGGAAACTGAACAGATGGGTAAAAAATGAATGTACAGGAAATTGAACACATGGTTATAGAATGAATATCATATATCAATGAATAAAGACTATCAATGAAAAATGAATTCTTCGTTTTCAGGTTACGTCACAGCGGCCATCTTGGAGGAACTTTCACAAAGGATTACTCATTAGTATCTATTGTTCATTCCTCCAACATGGCTGCCAGTCTTTATCTTTTGAATCTCATGGGAATGGGTGAAAACGATCAATATGTGAATGATTAGATTAATGGATGGATGACTTCTTGAAAAGAAGGGAATTTGAATGAACAAAGAGCCAGTCAAACAGATGAATAATATTGACATCTATGGTTAGGAGATTAGGTGGGTCCACAGATGGACTGATTATGAAAAAATGATTTCAAGTTCACTGCAATGACCTCTCTTGTTTGAAAACACACAGCTTCTAATGTTGCCCTGGCAATGTGGGCTTTATTGGTATACTGGGTCAGACCAATGATGATTCTAAAATAAAATCAATTTGAACATCATGAAATACATTCTGTATCTTAAAGAACAAAGATTCTGAGATAAAAGTTCTATAGAATTTTACTTTTTCGCTRACTATGATTATCATGACAAATATTTTTAAGACATACCCTCTAGCATCCATTTGCCAGTAAGGAGCGTACAAACCAGAGAATGCAGGAACAAAATAAACACCAGCTGAACTAGTCACACTTTTAGCCAAAGATTCTAGATTAAAGCACAAATAAACTTTCAAAGAGTGATATTAAAAAAATAAACTTGTAATAGTATTCAATTACCAATTTCTGATGAYGTTTTGAGCATATTTAAGTTGTCTCTGAGCCACTTGACAGCAGCACCAGCAATGGCCACTGAACCCTGTTAAAAGGCATTTAAAAGCATCGTTAGATATAACTTTGACATGGAATAGGCCATTTGCATTTACTSTGTGTTGAGCTAGSGACCTCAGCTCACCCTATTTGCATTATTTCAAGCAAAGGAAGCCCAAGAGCASAGGGAATCACTGTAATGCCTGCAGAGGCAGCTGSGCTATAATTGCATTGCAAAAGAAACAGCAGGGAAAAGCACTAATAATGCTGTTTAAGTACCTCCAAGGCGTAAACTGTTGGTTGACCTGGTCCCAGTTTGTAGGCAACTGTYGTCAATAAACCATTCTCAGACAAAACAGGCTAAATAAATAAAATTTATATCTAAATATGAACAATAGATGCTCAAAGAAATGAGAAATTAATAACAACTTTAATTATTATAAGAAAGCTATAAGGAGATATTACAGTACCTCAAGTCCTGTATTGTAGAGAAGAAAACACCCTGTACCATAGCTAAATTATTCAAGAAACACAAGTTACTTATACATTAAATATAACATCTGACACAAGTTAGCATAAAGTTTAATTCAAACCTACGTGTTCTTAGCTTCTCCTTTGTTAAAACACATCTGACCTACTAAAGCTGCTTGTTGGTCACCAAGAACCTACCAACACAACAATAAAATATGTAAATATTGAAAATATGATAACACTTTTTAACCAAATTCCATTTCCTACCCCTGATATTGGAGTTCCTTTTAGAGGCCCTTCAACCTAACAATACAAAATAATGATTATTTTAATATTTTGGTWATTTATTGTAACCACACTTAAAATCTTTGAAAAAAAGTGAATTAGACAATAGGACCCAAAGAAATCATTCAAAGTTCTGTGAAACAATATGTAATGTCGCCTATAAAAGCTTTTTAGTTTTATTCGAAATGATATCTAAGTTAAACACAGGTTATCATCACCCTCATTGATGCATTGTTACATACCATTTTGCCATATATTTCTGAGGAACTTTTWATGGTTGGTAAAACTGTTGTTGGTATACCAAAAAAGCTGTAATAAAAAAATAAACAAGATTATCAATATCCAACCATTGTGGTGGTCATGGTAGACTAGTACTAGAACATTTCAACCTCTTTAGGTTAGTTTGCTAGAGTAGGCAGCTGTATTTGTATTCTAAAGTCTTATACATGTGATAATRCAGGATAAGGAAAGTATAGGAAACTAACTTGCATAGGAAAGGGTCCCAAGAACCRGTCTTGAGATTCATTAACATTGTCCTTGATGCATTGGTGATGTCCGTCACATGAATGCCTCCTGAAACTCCCCCTGTCATATTCTGATCATAAAGAAACATCCATTTAATTAATGATAAAAATATAGAAAAATATTATAATAATGCATAATTTTTACAATACACCATGAGAATATAGAAGAATCAAAAGTAATTTTTACCCATAAAAGCCAGCTGTCTACAGTTCCAAACATACATCTTTTCTCATCAACAGCTTTTTTCACTTTTTCACTATTATCCATTAGCCATTTTAACTTGACAGCACTGAAGTAGGTGTTGATTGGAAGTCCACACAAAGACTACAGACAAAAGAAAATCAAAATACTGGGTTTTGCTACATGGCATTTATTGTTTAAAATTCCTACATTCACTATTATTCCTTGRTATTATCAAAATAATAGTGCTTACTCTGACAGTTTCTAAGGTACTTTTTGGATTTGCTGCCACAAATCGTTCTACAGTTGATTTTGTTCTTGTGTCAAGCCAAACTGCAAAACAGAGATGGAATCTGTGATATCAATAATTTTAAGGAAGTTATCTTTAGTTACAATTTATATGTGTTTTTCAGTTATTCAGAAGCTTGAAAACTGTTCAATAATTATTTTTAGTACCTATAGCATTATGGAGTGGTTCTCCAGATAGTCTGTCCCATACTACTGTTGTCTCTCTTTGGTTCGTTATCCCAACAGCTGAAAATAGAATGAGAATTCAAAATGAAAATTGCTGACAGATCAAATGTGTTGAATAATACCACCACATGTAWTGATGTTTGATGTGCTTTCTGTGCTGATTAATAGTATTGTTTTTATRTTGACGTTAAGCCTATAGCAGATCAATGAAAGCTCAAATATATACCAGCGTGAACAAGGGCATTACTACATGTATATTCATTTGTAAACACTGACTGCTTAAGGACAGCTGTGTATTCTGTACCTTTTATATCTGCAGGGTTTATCTTAAGCTCTTTGCAGCTTTGCAAAGTTTGCTCCATACATTTGTATACTGATGATAAGAGAGCTTTTGGATCTTGTTCTACCCATCTAGCATTATAAACAAGAGATAAGCAAAAATCAATATCACCATGATTATGACAACATGAAAATGGAATAAAAATGAYATAATCACCAAGTTCTCTTTCAAATGCCAAATTTGACATGTGTTCAAAGGGGAGTCTTACTAATCTTTGTTTTTTGCTCATTATCATGGGTATCACATTTAGCCAATGTCAGATTCACCTCAATTTGTAGCAATTTCATCTTGCTTTTAGTGCACAAAATAACAGCACTAGAAAAGCAGGTTTTTTTTGTTTTCATAAAATTGTCTATTTTCAAATGCCCTACTACAACTACTTCAAAGTTGTCTGGTTCTGTTTTTTTATTCCTGATACCAATTTCTTATATTTCATAATATTTAATATTGTACAACTTTTATCTAGAACCAGAGCTGTAGCCATAATGAATGGCCCTGTTTTATAGAAATAGTTCAGTTTTCGGGGAATGAATTTTTATGAAGAAAAGATCGTTCTTGCAGTAAATATTATTAATCCATTTGAAACTGTACCAGTGTTTATGGCCTTGGCAACAGGTTACAAAAGCATCAAGCTGAATTCCTGGCTTATTCCATGCTATACCTGTTCTTACTAGCCAATACCACTTTGACTATCCCACTAGGGTGCTGTCAATCAAATTAACAATGCAAATAACTCACCCTTCTTTGGGATAAATACTGTCAAATTCTACTTGGTGAAATGCCAGGAGTTCTGCTGTCTTACTTGCAAACAACTGAAACAAAATACCACCTTATTTAGTACTTTATTTTGCATTAGTCAATTGAAACCACATCCTCCAACGTGCTGGCAATACATGGGAATTCACATTTTTGCAGTGTTGAAAGTCATGGCTTTCCCCCAGCTCATAGAGACAATAAAGGCTGTTAAATAGATCATGCCCTCTGAATTTGACATTAATTTCCCCTCTCTCAGTGAAGTCATACTGTTCAAACAGTGTTAAAGTCCCAGGGAAGGACCTGGTTTCAATTGAGTACTGCTTTCAAAATAATAACAGCAAAGAAATCTGGGTGAAGGAATGTGTAATGAGCAAAATGAATACATTAATGATAACAGAATATTTTTTGACAGTTGTAACTCAAAATGCTCATTTTGATGCTCATTTTCATAGATCATTGTCATCATGTGACTGGACATTGAATGCTTTTATAAAAGAGCAATACCATTTGGATAACATATTGAAAAGAGAATGTTGTCACATGTCGATCAAAATGATATACCCCCGGGCCGGGGATAYAACTGTCAACAAGTTCGGATCAGCTGCTTTTTTAAMTTTTTGTTGCCACTCATTRAATATAATTCTGTAGGAAATTATTTTATGCACATGTGAAAAATGTTTATAAAATAAAGAACTAATTTATCAAATATCATCATCATCACCACCAAAATAATGCATTGTGCTGCCATCATCAATATCAATAAAGTTTTTGCCAATATTGAATCCACGTAGCAACTTAGCTATGCTATGATATAAACACTTAGCCTTATATCTGCTGTAAATAATACAAAACTATGCTCTGACATAAAACGTGTATGCAAATGCTCGGTCTAAAAGAAACATGACACCACAACATGCAGATGGTAGCCATCTGGGGTGGGGTGCTTGAAACTCGACACTTCGAAATTAGTTTACTTAGGGTACAGTTTCAACAATGTCATAGAGTTTTTTCATTTATCAAGATACCTGTTTAAACATGTTAGATATACAATTCAAGGTTATTTTAAGGATCATCTGATAAACACAATATGCATTTTCATTTTAATAGCCCGGATGGTGTCGGTCAACAGTCAATGGAGCCCCGGCAGCCTTTCGAGGCACGCAATCTTCCCTCATATTTTTCACATTATTTGGTGCAAACATTGGCAAATAGAAAGTGTGCTGCCAATTCTAATAAGCTATTGAAGATCTCTGACTTACAAGGAATCGGCTACTGGATGTTCCCTGATCAATAGCGCCAACTAGAGGTCCAAAGTCCTTGTACGAATCGGCCATGTTGGAATTTTTAAAGTAACGCACTCCACGAACACCGCTGTGCAAACGAAAAACAAACTTTGCAGTCTTGAAATAACTCAATGGATTAATTATTAATCGCATGAGCCTCCAGCAAAACGAGTTTTTTCCGTGACTTTTGAAAGAAAATTTATAAACATGACTAGCATATACAAAAACCCATTTGAATGTGCAAGTGAGTTTCAGTATTGTCCAATTATCTCGCTTCATGCATCTTTGATTGGCATGAATAAAGAGCACAGGGAAACCGGTAATGAGAATTTCCACAATAAAGTTAAAACCATAGAGTGGTTTTCATAAACCCGTGAAACAAAGTGTAATAATTAGGGTGTAATAGATCGTAATAGTCGCGTAGAGACAATRAAAAACAAAAGAGCCAAAGTGTAATAGCGATAAATACGCTAAAGTGTGTTTCACGGGTTAATGAAAACCACTCTAACTCTCCAAGGGAGATTAAATATCGACATTCCAGGAAAACTCTATAGCTGCTTTAGAAACTTATTCGAGAAGAAAATATCATTAAAGTTGCACTAAATTTGTTTATTTTTTTCAACTGGAGACACCTCATTTTCTTTATCGAGGATAAAATGTTCAAAACTTTCCTGTAGTATTTCTGAATTTTTGTTACTGATTATATTTAAAAATTTGAAGTATTTCATATTATTTATTTGGGTTATTTCAAAATTTATTTTGTCTGTAGACGTTAAATATCAGTTCGTTTCGTCAAGTGGGTCGTGTTTTTGGTCTATCGTGCATTTGTCATGTTGTCTAGATGTTATACAGTGGTTGCTGATAAATAAATTACTTCACCATTAACCGACATCTCAGGTGAACACGAAATACGGAATTGGTCGGAATTATACTTTGATATCAAAAATATGAAGAGTTCTTCGAACTGTGTTTCCAAGTGGTTTTTAAATGATATTAAAGTGGTATCCCGAACTTTTTGTACTTTTTTTCAGTATCTACTATCAAATTAGTGGTAAAATCTTCAAATTGTACTTGAATATTAATAAAGACTATGAATTTGTCAGGTTAGTGGAAACTGACCTGTACTTCGCTTATAGATTCTGAAACTGAAAGCGGTCGGAACCGTCTTTTTGCAGACTCTTGACTCATTCAAACTTTTGAACATAGTCATGTAATCTCAGAATAGCAGAAAGAACCATTACAAAAACGTCTACTGCTTGAAGTTGAAGTTGATTTATAAAACAGATACAATGTATAAGATTGCTCATCACAAGTAACTATAGTAGTAACATTGTAAATAAAAGTAGACAACAAAACTACAAAAATTAAAAAGCAGTACTTTGTACAAATCGTGAATTTATTTCTGGAAATTTTTCCATGATTTATTGAATATGATACTAGTTCAAAATTTGGACAAACAAAGTGACGCCTAGATATTACAAAATATATATTCGCTTTTCTGTTCAGTGGTGTCATTATACGTCGAAGCGATGGAAATCAAGCCCCACTAGCACTGTCGTCCCCTTCACAAAATAGTTGTTGTGTACGTGTTTGTTTTCTCGTTTTGTTGTTTTTGTTTTTTTGTTTTTACCAGTTTGTAAAACATAACTTTGATTGTTTGTACGCCAAGGTAGCGCCACTCGGYACGACGAGTGAAAACACTAAGAACAGAAAATAGAACGTTTAAAAAATATAAAACAAACTCTTACACACTTGAATATAATTTTCTACTCTCCGACGAGTGTTTTTAAAATCCATCACAATGCAATTCTATAATCTTCATGAGAGCAAATCACGTGGTTCCTTCGACGTCACCAGCAAACTCGCAAGAATTCAAACACATCTTATAGGTATTTTTATGGTGACCGCCAAAAATTGTAGTGAAAATCTACATCTGTTCTATAAACAAAGCATCACATCGAAAATTGAACACGTACTGGTCGCTTTGCTCAAGGGAAATAGCCAAAACACCTGCGAATATGTTGAGCAATTATTTTACAAACAAAATCGAATTAGTTTTGGCCTATCTTTAAATTCACCTATCAATTCGCGATCTGTCGCGGGTAAAATTCGGTTTGATTTTTTTCTTTATGGACCGTTTTAGCATGATTGGTAATTGTGTTTTAAATTAAGAACATGTTTTTCTATTCATTGAGCACTATCAAAAAGACTTTGACAGCGCTTAAGTCAGAGCCTGTTTTCTGTATTAGGTATTCATTAGGGGCAACACAAAAACCATTAGTTCAAACATACCCAATCAAGGATTGGAGGCGATAAAGTTCTTTCCGCTTTTTTATCAAAACAATCCGCAGAAGAATTCAAAGTAGGGAATAAAATGGACACTAACATTTTAATATTTTCAACAATTGGTTGTTTGAAACTATTCGAAGTGGCCAGTAGCAATCGAAATACTTTTTGGATTTCGGCAACGAACGACATATGGTATGTAGATTTGGGGGCTAAACTTCCAATTAGAAGTGAACTGAACGAATTGTCATTACTGATGGAAGCCCTTTGAAAACACTTTGTTTTGAAGCCTACATGATCCATTCATTTGTAAATGATGGCATAAGAATACTTAGTGCATCGTTATAATCAAGAGCAGAAAAAGGCCGGCTGGATTTTAAAGTCGATTCGGTGATGAAGGGATTGAATCGATAAACGCGCGCGCCGGTTGATTAATACTCGAAAGCCTTGTGTTTTTTGGCTGTGTGGAATATCTAGCTGATCTTTTAATTGATTAGCATCCCTGTCAACGTTTGTATTCAAGCCAAGGAGTTGCATTAGATACGAATGGTCAATGTTCTTTGTGACATACTGCTTTAACTACTGTAAATTATTCATTCTTCGGTAATCTTAATAAAAAACGGAGCAGTCGCTAATAAGAATGTAACCATTTGTAGTATACGGCTTTGTGGATGGAATTCTACTGAAAGAGCATCGGACTTCACCGCGCGAAAACCAACTACTGTGCGAAAATACACCGATCTTATGCTATGATTTTCTGATCTAAAGGCCAAAGAGATGCCAGACCATGAACTATAGTCCGTCATTCAGCTATCATGACGAAAAGACAACTCCACAAAGAGAAAGAGTTCGAATTAATGTTAGTGGTGAAATGTTTGAAACGTTCGAGGATACGCTAGCTCGGTATCCATCAACTCTTCTTGGATCCAAAACGAAAAGAAGTCAATATTTCAATTCAAAACGAAGTGAATACTGCTTCAACAGAGACAGGGCAGTTTTTAATTCAATACTATTTTACTATCAATCGCCAGGAATTCTCTCAAAGCCGGAGACTGTTTCCTACGAGATATTCTTCAAGGAAACGGCATTCTTTGAACTCGAAACTGACTGTATGGGAAAAACAGATCCGACTGCAAAGTGGCACTACACCAGTCAACGTAGAAAGAGGACTTTAAGAGGAAGAATATGGCAATCTCTGGAGAATCCTCGCTCGTCTGCGGAGCGCTTGGTGAACAAACTATCGGGGTTAATAACTTTATTATCACTGGCTGCTTTATGCTGGGATACAATTCCTGAAGTTCGCAAAGTAAATCCTCATCAAAACAATAACACCGTGGTGCACATGGGTAATTTCAATGACAATGCTAAACCGTTTTATAATGGTCATCAATTCTGGTTCCTCACAGAATCAATATTCTCWGGATGGTTTACTATTGAATATTTCGCGCGTTTAGCTACGGCGCCAAAGACCATACCATTTTTGACGTCGTTTTCGGCCGTAGTAGACCTGTTATCTATTCTGCCCTTCTACGTTACTCTCGCGTTACGKTTTAGTACTCAAAACACTGGTTATATTCCTCTTTTACGAGTGTCTCGTCTTGTTAGAATACTTAAACTGAAGCGATATAGTACAAGCGTGCGATTGCTTTTCGAAACTATAGGTGACAGCTACCAGGAATTACAAGTCTTTTTCTTGTGTTTGGTTTTCATCACGGTGATAATGTCGAGTGCTATCTATCAAATCGAAGGCATGGGAGAGCATTCCCAATTTATAAGCATTCCTGATGTATTTTGGTATTCATTCGTCACACTTTCGAGCGTTGGTTACGGAGATTACGTTCCTCGAACCGAATTTGGCAAGGTGATCGGTGCAGTATTTTGTGTCAGTGGAGTAGTTGTGATATTTTGCTTTTCGCCTGTTCTTTTCGCCAAATTCCGAAGATGCAGGTACAGATTATTCAAAGAACAACTTGAATTACAGATATATCGCGATGAATTGGATAAGATTTATAACCAGAATATAACGGAGAAGAAACGCGAATCGCATGGAATAAAGAGAAAATGACACGAAAAAGCTGGTTCACTTACAAAACAAAAATTACAAATAAAGATGTAGAATAAAAATAACTCATAATCATATTAGATCTGCCGTGGTGGTCCAATGGTGACTTTTTGTGTATTAAAATAAAACCTTTATTAATTTTTCACCGAGAATTTTCGTGAATCGCCATGCAACTAATTCCCGCGTAGTGCTCTTGAAATGTCCGCCGTTCCGTTGGTGAAATGTTAAATAGCATACATAAAGAGCTTTGAATGTCAAACTATCATGGCATTCTGAAGCACTTATTAATCGATACTTGTAGTGTTTCCATGTAATTCGACCATAAAACGCCGTCATTGAATGAAAGACGATAGAAATGGGAATGCCATTACTGCTCTGACGTCTAAGCAACTAAAATCCCATTTTGACAAACTTAAGTATTTTTTCTCATTCYTATTCCGCTACCTCATTTGCAGCACTTTGTAATATTAATCGCGTTCATGAGTTCCCTCGCGGTATTCATTCTTCTGGGAATGAATCCATTTTTATTTGAGTTTGGTATGGCAAATACTTGCCTCCTCGTTATGTGCAATTAGATAATTTTTACTGTTCAGAAACGATGCTAAATGAGTGCAATAAATACCTCTTTCACAGCTTTAAGATAAACTAGTCAGTCATTTAATGAATATTCTACAAGAGAGCCATGAAATTAGTTAGGTCTGCAAAGAGCGAAAAAAAACRCCGCCCACGTATTGTTTGGATGCTTAGTCAGTGTGACTATTTGAGCCTTTGTATTCGAGTCTCTTTGTCGAGAATGAGAATTTTTTGATTAAATTGAAGTTCAAAGAGTAAACATTGAAAATGTCAAATATCTTGCGCTTTTTACCCTTTTGTGTATCGTCATTCACGTGGAGTCCCTGAACATCATCGTTTTAATGTTCCAAAGATAACATATGCAAACAGATCCAGAAAAAACTAGGATTTTTAAACAGARCCCAACAAATAACTCAAAATCACTTAGTTAAAATGCGTGTGCTTACCTATTAGAAGATCAAAGAAATTCAATTTTTGTGTAGCTTTTTAGTTAACTTACATTGTGGTTTTACGATTGGACATTTGATTATCTTGAAATCAAACTCTTAATAACAATCTTACGGCAAGTCATGAGTCAATTGAACGAGCGGGAATGGAAATAAAAAAAACGCCGTTCCTGTACCGGAAAATATCAGTCTAATTTAGCGATTCGAACCGCAATAGTTGATCGTTAGTGAACATTTCATTTTACCCGCATCACTTTGCTCATGAAATAAAARCTAATATGACAACATTCTTTTTACTGAAATTTCTTGAGATAAAGTTCTAACTATTTATTATTTCCTTTGTTTTTCGTTTTCTTAGACTGTTCCATATGAATGAAGGTCAGTTAATCAAAACGTTTTGTTAGCAGTAAAATATCTGGGTTTCATTTTATACACTTAGTGTTTATTTTCTGTTTCTTCAAGGCATAATTTATTGGACGACGATGATAAAATATGGAATTTTGTTACGTGGCTGGTAGTGTCATGTCTGATTTTAAAGATAATGGTGTAAATATTGATGACATTTATATTAACAGACTGATTGTATGGGAGATATTACGATAAGAATTTTTTCTCGGTGGTTACATAAAAAATTGCAGTCTGCTCACGAACTCTATAAGGAAGTGAATTAAAATTTTGAATTGTTTGCTGATATACATATGCTTCAAAAAGAGAACCATCGAATTAGCATAATTTAGCACAATTTTGTATCATTTATGTTTAATTTGTGACAGATAAATCCCACATGGCTGAAATTAAGAGAAGCAAAAATATCCAACCTGAAGCGAAACGTCATTGCATGCTGTTCAGACTGATCAGGTGTGATAACCATCTTTCTTATTTTGTATTGGAATCGTCGAATTTGCGACGAAACAAACAAAAACCGATTTACTTTAAGTTAGGCGAACTTGTAATGCACAGTATACTGTGGATCAATAGATTGTTTTGCATCCAACCTTTCGCAAAACATTTCGGCGATGGACATCTTGATCACGTTTAGATTGTAGCCAATCAGCGCGCGTAAATGGCCAACTATGAAATATAGATAAACAACTCAAAGGCACTGGATACCAACCTCGTTCAATTCCCAGGGCTACTCTGCTCGCTTTTTTCAAAATGGCGGACAGAGGTACAGATAGAGATACCCAGACCCTTTTCATCTTCCAACCGCAAGAGGCCGCTAGAGTAGGGTCTGGGTACGAGAATGCACTGGATGTTGCACGATGAGGTGCATGGACATTCTTTTACCCAGACCCTTCTCGTTATCAACACAGTATAGGGAGAAAAGTCTGGGAACGAAAACTCATAACGTTTCAGTCTCTCACAGGACCGATTCACCCTGACCGACGCAAGTACTGGAGAGGAAGTTTGGGGGCAAGACGGTGTTTGATTGAAGTTTTTTTTAGATTTTTTTGAAATCACATATATAACTCACAAGCAAAACGAACAAAAAATCAATATGCAGCGAAGGTGCTCTATGCCAGCAGCTAGCCATTATTTATCGAGAGAAGCTTGTCAGAAACAACCCAGACCAACCATGATTGATGGCGATAAAATTGGAAACGATGAGGATCGCAGGATTACAAGTAAGAAATTTCTTTTCAAGGAAATAACGATGCCGTTGTAACAACACTGCTTTATATATCCCCTTCGACTATCACCGGGCCTTCTGTCTGTCCCCTTGTCCTTATCTCAAGAGTATTTTAGTATATCGATATCAAATCCGACAGGAGTGGTTTAAATAGTGGAGAGGAGGAGATAGRAGTTGAGAATAATGAAGAGAAAAACGGAGAGGGTCGTCCCTTCCGCRTTCCCCGCGTTAGCATTTGGTCCATATGCTAACGCGGGGAACGCGGAAGGGACTAACTTCTCCGTTTTTCTCTTCATTATTCTCAACTCCTATCTCCTCCTCTCCACTATTTAAACCACTCCTATCGGATTTTGGTCATTTGTTTTGGTCAATCTTTGAAGAAAAAGCAAAACACATTTTGAAGGAATACAATTTTTCAATAGTTTTTGTTTATCGTAGAGCGAAAATTGTATAATTAGCGACATTCAAAGCGATGACGCTTGAACCCCATTAGTGTTACAGTCAGATAATTACGCAACTACGCTAGTACCCTCAATAGAGTTAGTCTTACAGTATGAACATGAAATAAAATCTAAATAGTTRCTAACAAATAGTCAGTAAATAAGAACTATTAGATAGTAACTATTTAGATTTTATTCACGGACATAGTGTAAGCACTCTATTACTGTCAACATGAGTTTACTTTCTTATTCACTCCAAAAAGTAATTTTTCTCTTTGTAACGCCGTATGTCCCGAAAAGGTAGAATCCAAAAATAAGCGTTAGCATTCATGACTTTTGTTGGCACTATCAGAGAAAGCGAGCTATATTCACGTGCGGCACGCGTACACCGTGCTCTAGTTAATTGTCATTGGGACTGGGAAAGATCTTCAGTGTCTAAATTATGAACAGTATCCGCATGTTTGTGGCCATGGCCATCCCAGAGAGCCTTTTTTAAAAATCATTCCCGTATTCGCTTCTGCGCGGCGTTTGGACGCGACTCGTATAATTTCCAGCAGGAGTGGGTGGGCCAGCATAGAAAGTCTAGAAAGAGTGATTTTATTTTTAACAGCGGAACTCAACGATTATGGCAATGAAGAGAGTTCAGTGATTTCAACAGACACAGCTAGTATGTATATTTAAATGAAAGTATAATTAACGTCATTATAGTATTAATTACAAGTAAATTGTGTTAATTAGACGATAGTTTGAAAAACAAAAGAATCTCCTTTTGTCACCGCGCTACAATTATACCAATTACTTTACAATTACTTTCTGTTACAGCGGTTTTTCGTTTTCTGCGCCACTCTAGCACTGCGAACATTAACGGTCATTTTCTGTTTTTGTTCCCGTCAATCAAAGTAAACGAATTGCTCTCTTGACTCCTCCAACAAAACCGAACCAGCCCCGACGCTCCGCCATGTTGTTTGTTTCTTGCGGGTGAAATTGAAAAAAGATTCCTTTGTTTCTTGCGGGTGAAAATGAAAATATGACCGTTAAAGTTCAGTCGCAGTGCTAGAGTTCGCTGAAAACGGAAAACCGCARTAATGGAGAAAGGTAGGTGCTCATACTGCTATAGATATACTCGACTAACAGGACTAAACTTTTGGGTCGAGGGAATTTCAGTAACTCTTTAAAAAGCATACGGTAAAACCGAAACAAACTGAAAAACAGGCTAGAACATGCTTCTCAGCGCTATAACGTACCTTTACCTATGACATGACTTTTAAATATACTACCATGTATATTTCGTATTCTGATAGCGGGAAATTGGGTCAAGTTGCTTTCTTTTTACTTTGAAATAATACCTTAAGATAAAGGTAGTTGTAGACTTTGTCACTCTCATTATGTTTTTTTTTTTTGTTCTTTATCACCTAACAGAAATTAGATTTTTTCTCCTTTTTTCAGTCGACGGGAATTAAAATTATGGAAAAATTGATCTATATAGGCATCCTCAAGAACCCAGGGATGACAATTATTGAACTTAGGCTCCCGATGCTGCTAACGTGATCATTTTCACTCATTCCCATGAGATAAAAGACCGGCGGCCATGTTGGAGGAATGAACATTGGATGCCAAAAAAAAAAAAAAAGAAGAATATAGTCAGCTTTCTTAGGTTCTTTGGCGGCGACAATGGCCAGTCTACCATATAGATAGCATTCAGTTTTTAACCATCTTATCTGTATTTGTCCATCAACAGATAATCGTGAGGCAAGGAATAAACTATATGTTAATTCCGATATATCATCGCAATCATTTTATTCCCTTCATGGCATCAAACTGATCCCCGAGGGGGGATGGGGTTGGGCAGTATGCGCCTCTGGTTTCATTGTCCAGTTTATTGTTCTTGGTATCAATAATTCTTTTGGAATTCTATTCGCCTTTCTGCTGAATGAGTTTGGAAAGAGCAAAGGCGCCACTGGTAGGTCAATTTTAATCAGCTTATTTTCTCTTAGCTTTGTCTAGTCATAACTTTTTCCATATTGTTTGATTATTACCATGAAACGGTAGTTGAGGCAACTAATTCACATATTTCTTTTTTGTAAACTACTTATGCACATGCACACTCAAGATAATTATTAAACTTTAACTTAACTATACATCCAGCCAAGCAATAAAACAATAAGCCCTTACTTTTCATCATAACTTCAGCATGGGTTGGCTCTGCGGCTGTTGGAATCCTTTACCTGTTTGGACCAATCACATGCGGCCTCAACGAAAGAATTGGGTTTCGTACCATAGCCTTTATTGGGGGCATACTTTGCGGGCTTGGGATGCTTCTTACGTCGTTCGTGACAGACTTCTATAAGATCTATGTGACATATAGCTTACTATGGGGTATTGGATCCAGCCTTTGTTACTTTTCGACGGTTACGGTACCAGGAGAGTATTTCTGTCGAAGGCTATCTTTGGCCAATGGTATCATTACTGCGGGTGAGTAATTGTCTTCTTTTCAATTTTTCTCGATACAAGGCATGCAGTAACTTTTTTGATATTCACAGTATGTTGTTGTAACGTTTGACCAGGAGTATTCTACAAGGAGCGTTTAGTATTTTTGCTAATGTACTGACAAGCAATGTCGCCTTTTCATAGGGAGCGGCTTTGGAACCCTAACATTCGGCCCACTTCTGCAGTTCCTCCTCAAGAAATATGGTCTGACAACAACACTCCGCATTCTATCCGCCATTATGAGTCTTTTAGCCCTTGCTTCCTTGACCTTCAAACGATTTAGTTCTCCACTCGAGCAGATGTATAACACGCAGAGGACACCGACACCATTTTCTGACATGAAAATTTGGAAAAACAAAGCGTTTGTTTTGTATACTGCAGCAGTATCGCTGTTTATGCTGGGATATTTTATTCCATATGTACACGTGGTAAGAATCTGTTTATTCACGATCAGTGGTTCTCGAATATCCAACAAGTGAGGGTACAATGAGTCTGGAAATGAATTCAATTTGCTCCATTAAAAAAAAAATAAATAAATAAGCAATCACTTTATATTTCTGTTCTCACTCTAGAGAGCGGATGCAGAAATCTGTCAAGGACAGGGGGTGATGGTGCCCACAAGTTGATTAGGGTGTTCCCTGTTCTTAAGACCTAGGATGCACGGATTAGGGGTTACTTCAGCGGAGGGTACCCGGAGTCTCTAGGGACATTTCCCTAAGATCCACTCCTGCACCACTTTGAGTTCAATAAAAAAAACCTATAGTTCTAAATTACATAATTCAGTTTATTTATTTTTTCTCTTTTTAGGTAAGTCTTGTCGCCGATGTTGGAATATCAGAATCAAATGGCGTGATGCTTATTGGGTACATGTCCATCTCTTCAACTGTAAGCCGTGTCATCTTCGGGAGGCTCTCAGACTACCCTCAGGTCAATAGATTATATATGACTCAATTTGCCATTGTTGGATTTGGAGCTATGACACTACTTTGTCCGATCGTGAAGACGTATAAAGCCTTTGTGACAGTTATGGTCATGCTGGGTATATTCGAGGGCATGTATGTGGTATTGATTGCTGTCGTTATAACTGATATTGTTGGTGTTCATAAGCTGAATCAAGCCCTGGGAAATTTGTATGGAATTATATCATTTGCCATTACTGCAGGACCACCATTCGCAGGTAAGATCTGGACATAGCACTTGATTAAACTTGCTCGTACCGAATCTTAATTGTAATGTGATGGACGTTGGCGTAGCGATGTATAGCCTGGCAAAACGTTCTCTTCCTCTGCTAGAGTCTATACTGTGTGTGTTTGCGGTCAATGGCAGAATAAGATGAGCGCATGCTTGTGTCAGATCTAGCATGTGATTGCATTATCAGATTAATATTACCAACATTTCATCAGATTGATATAAGTACCTGATATTTTGTTATCTGTATACGATTTTTAATTGACTCCAATATTTTTCGACCCTGCAGGATTTTTGTACGATGCCTTGCTGTCATACAACATAGCGTTCTATATTTGTGGAGTCACGACTATCTTCTCATCTCTTCTCTTGTTTCTCGTTCCCTGGCTTATACGCAAAGACAGTGGTAGGAGATTTGAAAGAGACTCCATAGACAGCCGAATAGACTCTATTTTCTCGCGAAGCATGAGTGGATTTATAGGCATCAACAGCAACATGGATAGAAGTATAGTTTATGAAACACCTCCAAATAAAAGTGGCTCACGCACATGCGAACGTAAGCCTAAAAAAAGGAAAAGACGTCGAGATCTCTCAACAACAAAAGCTGAAGACAACGCCTATGTATTTAGTGGAYCTCCTCTCAGAAAACGTAGTTTCACTTCAGACATTAAAGAAACCTACGAAAAGGGAAGTTTGTTCACAAGAAGAAGGCCAGCGAGCAGGCAGCGTAGCATCAGTTTACCGTCAGACAAAGAAGATGAATACAGCAAACTACCTTATAGTATTAGTTTCGCATCAAACTGGACTACAAGCAGCAGTCCTATAAGCAGGCAACGGAGTATTAGCTTTCCTTCAGACAAAGACGATGAAGATATCCTAGTATTTACAAGCAGACTGAGACACGCAAGAGGACGTAGTGTTGTGTCAGACAGGGACGAAAGCGATAAAGAAGAAGACTCAGTGTTCACGTGCGGAACGCCCACAAGCAGGCAACGTAGCGTCAGTTTTCCGTCAGACAAAGACGATGAAGACATTACGTTCACAAGCAGTCGGAGGTCTGCAAGAAAACGTAGTGTTAGCTTCGTGTCAGACAGGGACGAAAGAGAGAAAGAAGACGACTCAGTGTTCAAGTGCAAAATGCCCACACGCAGGCAACGTAGCGTCAGCTTCCCGTCAGAAAATGACGATGATGACAGCTTATTTACAAGACGGCGTAGTGTCAGCTTTCCTTCAGAAAGGGACGTAATCGATGAAGAAGACAATCTGTTTTCAAGCAGTAGTCCCACTAACAGACTTAACGAATACATTTATGATCCAACCTACGAATACGACTTGWGTGATGTCTTCGCTCAAAGTCATTCAAGTACAAGCAGTGGCTGTGTGCTCTCGAACTCTCTCAACACTTCAAAAAATACTAGCTTCAACTCGACAATGTCATTCCAAGGGTCCAAAACAAAGTTGCTACTCTCACAGTTTGGAAATAATGCTTCTGCATATCGTTCTGCAGAGTCATTCAAGTCTTCTTCATCACAACAGCAAAAAATCACACGACTCGCAATACCACTATTTCGTCGTAAAAAAGAGATAAAGGTCATGGAAACTGTGGTGTAAAATCGGAAAAGACTTGAAAAAGTAAAGCGTTGCTGTACTCACGTGTTACGCGAGATCACATGTATATAATTTCAAAAACTGATTGTTTAGTTGCCAAAAATATGTGAAATGTGTGTATCAATATAGTATTAATATCTGTAATCATACTCTACCTGCATTTTTAATTCAACAAATTTTCTTCACTCTCATTGGTAGAGAGTCGACCACGTGATGCAATAGTGCACATTATGTCCGCCGCTTCAGAAAATTTTCTTCTTGAATAATAAAAACAAGAGCAGTTAATGAAATTTATTTTGTCAGCGTAAAATGAGATGCTTTGCTATTCAATTTTTTCTAGTGGTTAACGATTTGATTTTATCTCGTGTGAAAGATGTTGGACCCTTTACTATACCCTAATCTTCTTTGAAAACAAATACACCGGAATTTCTGATGAGGTGAAGTTAATCATGATCAGTGCTTTGCGCAGTGACTTTCAAACATTTAATTTGATGATTAAATAAATCTTTTATTAAATCTCGCTTCCCTACCGCACATCATTCGCGAAGAATTGCTATGGCAGAGTTGGTAACTGTACAGCCTGGGGACTAGAGCTAATTTCAGCCAATCCCCAGGCTTTGATGATGTCATAACTGGGTGTTTCAAATGATGTTCCTCGATCGTTTAGCAATCCTGGACCATGGTAGGAACATACAAGGATACTGGACGTTTGGACGACGGCTAATGAGCTTGAGTTGTCTCTTGGATTCTTCGGAGTCGCTGGTCTTGAAGACCCGGGAGAGCCTTTTCTTGGGGGAGTAAGGCATGGCACTAGGAACATAAGAAAGGCAGGTAGCAATGCAGTGACACCACACACGTAGAATGCGACGGTGTAGTCCTGCGTGACGTCATATATCCAACCTTGAAATTCGGGATAATTGTAAAGACAAAAAATTCATCAGTGAAATGGCACCTTTTATATTTATCATTTGTTTTTTTGTAATAGTTATTTATCTACRACTCAAAACTTATTAATCACGAGTGTTTCGATCGAAGCGTACCAGCAATAGGTGGGCCAACCATCATAGGAAATGACATGAATGTAAACATACTACCAAGCGCGTACGACATTTTCTGTGAACCAACGATGTCTCTTGTTATGACAGGAATAAGAACAACGTAGCAGCCTTCAAATAAACCAAAGACCACGGAGTACACCACAAAGCCTGTGTAGTCTTTGACTAAAGTCACGAAGAATGAGCATGTTGCCATGACTACAAACCCAAACTGTGATGTGAAAAAAAATTTGGTTGTGAAATTTGGATCTTTTGCTCGGTAGCCTTGGGATAGTCAAATAAATGAGCCCAGAGGTGGATATATTACGAAYATTCAACCTGTATGTATAAAAAGAAAAATTGAACACCGTAAAAGGATTAACGTCCGAAACGTCAGTAAGTAATTTCACCTACTTTTTTACGGTGTTAATTTTTCTTTTTAAACAGCTGTTTCTTTAGAAACACCGACGCAGCTCACACTAGTTTACCGCTAATTCCCACCATTCAACCTGTTCATTACACCTATTTCAAACCTGGTAGATATGGAATTTGTTGAGACACTGGAAGTCTGATATCTTTCCAAACAACAATCTTCCGAAAGTTGAAGCAGTCGACAGGTAGCCAATCAACAAAGAGCCTTTAGTTGGACTGACACCAAGATCTTCAGCATGGCGAACCTTAATAATATAATTTATATAATCACAAGAGTGCAATCATAAGGGCCCGTTTACACTTTTTTTACGATTTTTGCAGCGCGATAATCGCCACTTTGCTATCGCGCAACTATAAAATCGTGCACTCTTATAAAATACGTGATTAAGAGTGCATGTAAACAGCTCTGCGAAACTCAGGCGATGGCCGCGAGAATCGCTCTGCAAATATCGCAAGTGTAAACGGGCCTTAAAGATGTTCGAGAAAGTGCATACAAGAAATAGCATTCTCTTATGGCTCCCGCCTGCAACCGCACTTAAAATAGCGCGCGTGTCACTGGACGATCTTTATGAATGTTAGGAGTTGCTTGTGTGACTTACTAAGTGGACGAAAGGTACAAAATACCCCAACATGAAAATAGAAAGGCACACACACCACAGCACGTAGCCTTTGTTTTTAAATATCTCCCAGTCAAAGAACTTCTTTTTCTTCTTCAGTTGTGAATCATCAGTTTTTGCTTTATACGTTGGTGGAACGGGACGAAATGTTGCGGCGCACAGAATCAGCAATGTCAACAATCCAGCTAGAGCTCTAAAGGCATTGGAGACTCCAAGGCTCGATATCAAAAGCTGTATCAGAGGACCCATTGATAACGTCCCAAGACCACTCCCTGACGTGACAATGCCATTCACCAGCGACAGACGCGTTTTGAAATATTTTGATAAAACAATGATTGTTGGGAAGTAACACATGCTTGTCCCAGCACCCCAGATGATGCCGTACGTAAAGAAAAGAACTGGAACACTATTGGCGAAGGACGACAGGAAACAACCAGTAATGCAAAGCATAGTTCCTGTGATCCCGACGATCCTGCAGCCGTAACGCTCACAAAGAGAAGTCGTTAGGGGACCTAAGAAAAACATCATTCCGGTTGCAAGTGAGCCTACCCAAGCTGTGGAAGGAACGATGAAATAGTCAAGTTAGTACAGTAATGAATTTCCTTATTTCTACTGAGGCGAAATTCGCAAATTGGTTATTGCCAGAGCCGTCTTGAAAGGTAGGCGAGCCTTTGTTCACCATCTCCCTTCGATGTAAAGCACGGGTATACGTTTTCAAGATGGTGCCGGGAACTGTAAAATGGAGTATTGTCGCATTGATTCGTTGTCTCATTTATTTTTGTATGTTCATGATTTCTTCTTTTCGTTTTCTTAAAAGGCCTATTTCATTCTGTTATWCTGATCTCATTCGTCCGTTTACGATCTTTTCAGATCATCTACACACTATTCATACAAAGACTACAGTCCTAATTTCGGCACAGATGCATCTATGTACTATCCATTTCTTATGTTTGTTACCTGTTATCCCTCGCGGAGTTTGAAACTCATCAACCAGTGCTGTATAGATAATCCCAGCGGCATTCTGAACTCCAAGCATCAAAAACTGAATGAAGAAGGCACCCATACATGCTACCCAGCCCCACCCCCCATCAGGGCATGGCTGTTCATCGTCGGCCTCGGTCTGTGTGTCGCTTTTGCTTACGTTATCGACGTCGACGATGATTTCAACATTTTCAATGTCTGCTTGACCATCAGTTGTGTTACTCATAACAGAAGATCTCCTTCCTTAAGCAAGATGGCGATTGCTGGAGTAGTTCGATGCAAGTCGTTTATTCCAAGGCGCAAAATCAAAGCCATTGTTTCATTGCTCTAATTCAACCATCCTACAAGTAAGAATGTGAAGAAGAGAAAAAGATTTTTGAAAACAGCTACGCACAAAAATCGATTTAGAGCACACATAGTACTGTCTAAATTTAGTTGGTTTCATGATATTTCCGAGGAAATATTGAATTCATAAACCTTTTGACGTCCATTTTTAAGCTAGTGCACTGCTCAGACGTTGAGATCTTGAAGAGCCGAAGCTAATGTGCTGTAATTGGTTAATTATTTCATGACGTCATTTCACATTTATGAATTGATGAGTATGGAAAAACGGCGACAACATCAAAATAAAATTCTTTGTAATTCTTAGTAATTCTAAGTAATATAAGAAGATAGATAAACGCACTCAGGTTCTTCATTCACAGATGAAAACGCCCTTCTATTATTTGCGCGCTTTCTTTCCTATATGCACACGCGCACCGCACGTGCACTTTGCGCGCCAAAAAGCTGCCGCGCCTCGCCGTCGCGMCAATCGAGGTCGCCATTTTRAAGGTTTGTTCWTGAGTTGGACACAAATARGAGAGGTAAGACAGTTCTTCTTATTTTAAGTGAACATCACACAYCTATGAATATATGTCTCGTTCTAAACGACWKAAGGCACTGCCGACCGCCGGTACAACTGTTCGCCCTTGAGAAATATTTAGCAGTCATTCTACATGAATGACGCTCACCCATTTCTAAGTTAAACTGTTTTCCTTTCGCCTGAAACAAGCTTTCAGTATTTGACTTGGGTTATGATCGTGCAATCGTTTAWATAAGTCTTACAGCTTTTTAAASAGTCTTCATAGTTTGACCTTTTCGTTTCCKTTTCCCTTTTATATAMTGTCATTTTCTTGATGTAAGTTAAGTTATATTTGTTGAGCGTACTATGWGCGAGAACCATTTTAGTTGTTGAAAAAATAATAAAAAATAATAATAATAATAAAGAATAAATCCCTCCAGGAGGTAGGTAAGGGTCGCTCAAATATCTGAGCAAAATCAAACCTTGTAAGAAACTGAATGGGATGGGATGGAAAATCCGACAATTTTGATGTTTATAAGACTTACCATACTTCACTTCAAGAAAGTCACACCAAGTTTTCACTTTTAAAAATATTTTTATTTTTATCTTTGGTTTTAATGTAAGATCCTTGTTCTATTTAACAATGACTCTCTGAAAATATATATCCCACTATCTCTGTTTGCTGGACCTTAGCATTATTATTTTTTTATCTTATTAGTATGAATTGGAACAATAAAAGTTGCTAATAGCACAAGTAATAATTGAATTTTAAAATATGTCAAAATACTTATAAACCTTCAAATTTAATCCTGGCTTTCTTGTCGAAAACTGTGTATGCTTCAAAATAGGTAAGTGTAGAGAATGCAAACATTTCATTTTTCATTAGAGTAGTTTTCCTTTATCTGTGAAAACATTTCAAACTAATGCTGATAATTATTGCCAGTTAATAATTCTTACTAGACTCTAAATCTATTGTTTTCTTGTTGATAAACTAACCTAGCAGCCAGTAATAATTCTGACTTTTTTCACAGATTGACACAGAAAACCTCTCTATCAGTTTGTAGTAGTGCTTCTGTGCTGTCAATGATAGACAAAGTGGTTTTCATAAGGTCCTGCTTCTACTGCAAYTTACTTTGCAATTTTTTCAGTTTTGCTCCATCTGATATTATGGGATGAACCTCAGGGCTTGAACTATCTTTAAGCTTAGGCTCATGAAAATCACTTTGAATGTTTAGATGTTTTGTTAGAGATGTCGGTGGTCTGCAAGTATAAAATGTTTTTTTTATGATCWGTAGCAAAATATTGTCAATTTCCCCAAATAAGAAAGCTGTTGATTAAATCTTCCATGTCTTGTTTTCTCACTATTAAGCTCTAAAACAAGCTTTMAGGAATAACATCCTTGCTTGAAACTACAATTATGATCTTAAGAATAGCAACTCTAAAATGAGTTATTTAGTAAACTTATAAATATATTTCTGTCTTAATTTTTTTCACCCATAAACTCAAAGTTATATATCGATTATAGCTGCATAGTCAAACTTAAAACAACTACTAAACTCAACAGAAGACAAACAARTATTATAACTAAACAACAAAAACACTATAGCCAGAACACATTTTATTTCTCATAAATTTCATCAAACTCAAAATAAATATATTTTCTGAACAAAGACCAATCAACTTTTCTTGTATTATGATAAAAGCTTTTTAATTTAAAAATTGCAAAATAGAGACATATTTCTTTTCTGTATGGTCTTTCAATCTGTAATGATTGATTTGATAAACACAAAAAACACATGTTATAAATACCACAGAATATAACAATACACACACATATACACCTACATTTAAGTTTACTAACTACTACTCCATTTTGACTAATGCAGCCATAAACAAATAACTTATTCTTTTGSCAATGGTAATTTGTCATACTTTCTTACTACATATTCAAATCTTAAGGTCAAGTTTTTTTGAAGTTTGACCATAAGATTTGAAGGTAGGTATAACTGTTATAAACTGAAATTGAAAAGTGGTGATAATGAACGATACCTAATGAACGATTAACATGTAAATGTGATTCAACATTAACATTGCAAGTATGCTCATGTAATTAAGAAATGCAGCTGGGTGCATTTTTGTTTGCAATGGCTTTGATATAAGCCAAAATAAAAAATGTCATAGTCTGTTACTGAGTATAAACGTCAGTAGAACATGTTCCTTCATCACTAAGACCATGATGCAACTCTGATTGATATTTTCCCTTCATGTTATATTCCTGTTGCAATACAATCATGAAGTTAGCAGACATCCAAGAACTCATGAAACTTTTTTCCACACTGAAAGTTAAGTTTCAGTTCTTCAAACACTTGTCAAAGCGCCAAGCATAACTTCCTTTTCTTGTTGTTCAATGTTTGCAACAGCTTCGTCATAAGACATAGGAGGAGCATTTCCTGGTATTGACAAACACCCAATACTTCCACCATATTTACTGGCAGAAATCTGTTTGGGTAAGGCTAAGGTAGATGGCTGCTTAGGCATTTTTAGGTCCAATCGCCTCCTCACAAGAGAAAAGACTGATGGACTAAGTTCTCTTTGAAGCTCAAACAAGCCAGCAGTTCTTACAGTACAGCGGCTACCATCATTAGTCTCCTGTATTGTTGGCAATGTAAGAGTGCTTGGTCCAGCCCTACTTAAGATGCTATTAACACTAATATGGGAACCATCCATACTGCGTACACTGTAGATAGAATGGGGACGCAAGTGTTTAGGAAGTGGTAGCGGATGTGCGTTGACTGAGTAGTCACCAGTTTGCCTTTGTGGAGTATGGACCAAAGGTGCAAGATGTGGAAGAGATTCAGATTTAAGTGATTGTGGTGGTAGCGTAGGCGTTGGTGGATCAATATGCATTTGGGGTAAGCGTATTTGTGAGTCATAACCAGAACTTCTGTCTTCAAATTCTTGGTCTTTTTCATCCATGATCACTTCAAATTTGCCATAGTTTTTGCTGTCAGGGTGATCTTCCTCCTTAGGCATTAGGAATGGAATGCCAAACATCATGCAGGCAGCTATGATGGGGACTGCACCAGCAACATAGAAAGCTACTTCATAGGAATTAGAGGCATCATAAATAAAGCCTGAATAAAACAAAGAATAAATTATGAGAATAATGAACTTAAAGTGATGGGTTATACTTTGATTAACACTGATGTCATCTAAATAAAATGTTACCTGCAATGGGTGGTCCAAGGGTTAGTGGCACTGACTTAACTGCAAACAGAACTCCAACACCAATGGCCATTCTGTTACGTCCAACAATATCTCCAGTAAGGACTGGAGCCAACAGCACATAACATCCCTCAAAGAACCCAAAGAATGTAGCATAAAAGGCCAGACCAGGATAAGTCTTCATAAGTGGACAGATGGTGTTACTTATCCCAATCATTAAGAAGGAAAATTGATATAAGTAGAGTCTGTTGACTCTTGGATGGTCAGCAATCTTTCCAAAAAACAGACGACCAACTGTTGATCCAACGGACATCATTCCAATAAGAAGGGTTGCTTTGAACATGTCGACTCCTTGCAGGGTGGCAAGACGTATCTAGAAACATGAAACAGCAGGTTAGAGGATTTACAAAGATTAATGGTTCATTTGAATGGAGATGAATTTTTTAATAGCAATTTATACTGGCTGATCTTGCCTATGGACATTTAACTATTATAGATAGTGAATCAAAGAGCATTAAGAAAAAAATAAGAGGGACAAAAGAGAAAATGAAGAACAAATTTGCATTGATAATAATTAAACGTTTACTCACCAAGTGGACAAATGGAACAAAGTAACCTAACATCCAAAATGACAATGATGCACACCACAGTATGTAAGCTTTGTTTTTGAAAAGACTGAAGTCCAAGAAGCTAAAGATTCCCTTTTTCTTCTCAGCTTCCTTCTTTTTTGTGTCATACTTGTCAGCRTTCAGGAACGGWGTATTGATTGGCCTATATACTACGGAAATCAACAGGATTGAGGCCATCATGGCAGCTGATATGCGCATTGTGTTCCGCATCCCAAACTGATTCAACAGGAACTGCATAACAGGACCCATTGCYAAGGACCCAACACCACTACCAGAGGATGTCAGTCCATTGGCAAGGGACAGTTTCTTATTGAAGTAGGTGCCAAGGATGATAACAGTAGGGAAATAACACATACTGGCCCCTATACCAAACATTAGGCCATAAGTAAAGTCCATGACATAGATGTTAGGAGAAAAGGAACCCAGAAGGCATGCTACYGAAGCTATGGAGCACCCTATCATAGTTGTAAGTCTACATCCAATTTTTTTGCAGAGGGTAGTACCAAGAGGGCCAAGTAGGAACATCATACCGTATGTGATGGACCCTACCCATGCTGAAGAGAAAGAAGAGAAAAGTATGAGATTATAGTAATATGCACAAACTGTTGCCTTGGATTTGCACTCTAAATAACAATTGCACACTGAATAGTTTTATTGAATTGCTGCAATTAGTAAATTAAAAATGTGCTCCAATATTGGTGGATAATATTTTTKTCCTATCATGATCTTGCAGTTCAACATGCATTTTAGAGTCAAGTTTCTTTCAAGAATTGTGTACAGAAGCTGTGGGATATGAAATAAGCGTTACGCATCAGCGTTTTATCCCGGCAAAAGAGTCATGTGGTTACCACATTGACAGCTATTACAGCTCTACAGTTGACAATAAACTTGGCAAGAAACGGCAAACTATCAATAAACAATAGAAATAATTTGAAWAGTACAATAACTTGTCCACTGATGCATACATAAAGAACTCATGCTCAAATCATGTGATTTCCACCCTTTCGAATTTGTTTGATGGTTATCATATTTGCCCAAATTTATTAGTCAGATATAAATCAATATAGAATAGGAGTGTGGCCTGATGTCAGAAGACCGGCCGTTGAAGCAACAAGCAAGTGAAGTGTGCTAACGAGGCAAGATAAATAAACTTGAAGTTCATATTTTTTTCGGCAAAAAAAGTATAATAATTATAATAGTTTTTATCTAGAAGAAACTTCTTTCGAAATGTACTCCGCTGTAAGTCATTATGACCGTAATGCGCTTATAACACCAGAATTACATGGTCTTGTGAATCGCCTATGACACATCCGAGACATTTGCATCTAAAGAATAATAATTTTAAAAGAACTCTTCTGTTGCATAGAGAAAACCTTTTGTTTTTAATGAAAACGCTGAATTCATACATTCAAAAACAACGAAGCTAGGCTCGCGTCGCTGTGTTCACGTACAGCTTCTGTAAAACCGCAAAAAAACAAATGCATAGACTGTTTTGATTTATGCTTTAAAGCTTGATCTCGTGTTATTGTTTGACTATTTTCTATGGAAAAAATGCTTTTTGAACAAGAGAGTTTTAATTTGCATAGTTTTTATTCCAAAGAAGCGCGAAATCTTTTTTAATGAAACCTAATGTTTCAATTTCTGAAATTTAACTCCGAAAACTCGAGCTTGCTCCACAGGGTAAAGCCGAGCATGTCAATCAGTAAAAAAAGCAGAGCTTCTCATTGGTTCAAAAACCTGTTTTACAGGAATAAACAAACCTTGACATTAGCTATGCATGTGACAAACTCGGTAAGAGATTTTGAAGAAGTGTTCGATCCGCTTAAAATTTTGTCATGAATAGATTTTTCCCTCAGATTTTCCAAGTGTAATGCTTAGAAATCGAATGCAGTATGATGCAAGCCATTACTGTTTGAACATTGAAAGTTCAGCATTGAAAACGAATAGATTGCACTTTTTTCTGCTGAAATCAGCTAGTAACGCTCAAAATCGAATTACTGCTCGTTCCGATTGAATGTAACAAATTCAGCTCACAAGACAAATTGTACATTTAACGRTAAAACCGCAGAAAGAATATYATTCGAAAAGAATTGAGCTGTCAAAACAGCTGACCTAGAATTAAGTCAGAATAATTTAAATAGGGACAAATACGAATTACATTGAAAAATTTCAGCGGGGGAGAGCTGAAAATCTTTTTGCTCGTGCAATCGTTGAATAAGACATCGCTCGAATGATTCGTAACATTTGAAAGACGCAGGAAAAATCGAGYAAAACACATTTGATTAAACTATACATCAAACAATGRCCATCCGTCATTAGCATGTTGTTTTTCAGAATGATCATCCAAAATATTACTCTTACCTGCTTCAGCCTTGCCTACTTTAAATTCTTTCAGGAGTTCAACGTACATAACGCCAAAATTGTTCATAGTCCCTAATACAATAAATTGCGTTGTGAACGTTGCCAAGCATACTAGCCATCCCCATCCTCCATCAGGATAGTCCACGAGAGGCTCGAGCTTTTTCTCCAGTGGTTTCTTTTTGCAGCACAGAGGCATTGTAAATAACACAGCTGGATGATCGAGATAGCTGTAGATGAGGTTTCGCTATGGGCCGCTTTTCTAGCGAGAGTACAAATGTGCTCCGCTCAAGAGAWGTACCTCTTCAGATTGCAATACCCAGCAAGAAAACCCCTCGTCGAGGCAAGCGTTAAAACAAAAATTTTCTGACGGCTGTCAATGTTGACAGGTGACGTAAGTGACATGATTACAGTCCTTGGCTCTGATTGGTCGASGTAATTGTTTACAGGTTTAATATCACCTGTGATTGGAAGCTAGTTTCTCCTTAACGGTTGAAGATCGGACCATGTTTTTGTGCTAATGAGAAAGTGTAGAATTGCACGTGAACTTCATGTGACAGWGTGTTTAATTTTGTTTGAAAAAAGTTCTCTTTTTCAAAAAACAGGTATTTTCTGAAGAAGAAATAAGTGCCATTACTTTCTCCTTTTAGATCTCGGGTAAGGTCAAAGGAAAAAGAAAGATTTGGATTTTTTGCTTGACGTAATAGGCGATGAGAGAAGAAGGTTCGGGTTGAGACCTCGTTTCCGGTCACCTCTCAACCGGAAACGTAAAATCTGTTTTTTGAAATGATCTTCTTACAGTGTCTTACAGCAACGGCTGTAAGGTCTCCAGCTGTTCTTGCCAAGCTTCGGAGCAGTGTTCTTGAACAATCTTGCCTGCCTTGAACAATGAGTATTTATTTTAGCGTATGACTCGTTTCGTTTCGCTGGTTTTGTACAAAAGGTGAGAAATGAACCTTGGACTTGTGCCTATTTATGACGATATGTCATTTCCTTCTCGCTGGGTTTTTTTGTAGTATTGCACAACGTCTTCGTAAGAAGCTTAGCGTGTCGGCGTCATGAAAAACGAACATCGCTGTATATTAAACTATTTACTTTGGTATTTGGATTTTATTGTTTTTGACTTCACATTTCGTCACTGTTGAACAGATTTACGTAGGAATATCTTCCTTATTAAGTTGGTGTGATCGTCTATCTAGCCGAACCCCTTGTACAAATTCAAAAGGTCAGCCTGCACAAGTTCAGAATTTAGCTTATGCTTTCCAATTTCAGCTAACGTCTTATTCTGTGAAGAGATTTTATTTCTTACTGATAGAAAAAATGTTGACCTTTGATTTCTTTCAAGTATGAGAAGCAACTTTCGAGGCAAACTTCACGAACAACTTCACGAAGCTGAAGACCTCCAGCATACTTTTGTACATAGTACATGTTAAGTATAAATGAAATGTTTGTTGTACTTCATAGCTCATCCCATGGAAAGCCCGCAGATCCAGGATTCTTATTATCCAGATGCTGATAAAATATGTAAAAACGCTTTGAGTGAGCTAAAAAAAACAACAGTTAAAACCTTCAATTAAAAATTGATGAAAATTCACTCCATACTTTGAATTTCCTGTGATTATACGATATAATCTATGACATTGTGTGGTAAATATAGTTTTTTCCGTATTATATAGGAAACTTTTCGAACAATAATCATGAAGATGTCCAAGCATGCAATATGAAGTGCCGCGCCCATGAGTCCTGATGGCTAAGTTTAACTTTCATAAGAACCTGAAAAAAAATCACTTTATTTGCGAAAACTGAAAAGTGCTGCTTGTGTGTTCAGCATTAAAATTAGCACGTGGTATAAAAGGTTGTGGTTAACCGGTTCCGTTTTGATTATTATCGCGTGGGCTACCTAGACTAGTTCAGACTGGTTAAGTTCTTCGGAAACGTCATTCGTTTAATGTACTCACAGGTTTATTTTGCTTGATAAGAAATGTCAGGGATTTACCCGAGTTATTTACAAGCACATTGGTCGGATTTAGTGTGGTTAACTGGTTATCCAGGAAGAATTAGTGGTCTTGAGGATAGCATAGGATTTGTTGCAAGGTATAGCTTTCCTGTCCACCCTAAACGATTATTTTGATAAAACAGACTGAAGTTTTCTAATCAAAGGTTAAAGTTAAAATTTCAACCCCTGCCAAACGTCTTAATCAGTGATCTTCAATATGATAGGTAAATGTCATTTATTGAGATGAACAAAGTCCCGATTAACTACGGTAAATAGACACAAAACACAAAATACTTTCTCAAAAGGGTATAAATTGTCGATTCAGAGGGAGTTCTGTCTAAATTTCGAAYACTATTAAGTGAATACGTGGCATAGTCGTGCTCCAAAAGGTCAAGACTGTTAAGGCATATCCTTAGTCTACATGTCTACTCGAAACTTTGTAACGAAAGATCCRGTTTCTTTAGACTTTAACAGTTTCGGTGTAAAATTGTACACGTTGTTGTCCCCTTTTCAAAACGTTTGTTGAGTTCTTACTGTGGCAAGAATATGAGTTCCAATTTTAATTTRCAAGGGAGAWAGATGGACCTTTACGGTCCCTTASAAARGCMTGGTGAASTGGTASTGTTTCTATWTTTGAATCAGTCCTGGCACGTTACCTCCAGTAAAAAACAATTCAAATCATTTGGTACGAGAAGTGTTCGTGAGCGATGTAAAAGTTACTGCTGGGCCTCCTGAGCCTTTGGGCGGAGCAGTCATCCAGTGTCCAGGTTCGAGACAGAGAGTTATGACATGCAACCGCCTGGATGAAGAAGAAGAGTTCTACAACTGCTAYRTAAAAATCGTGCGATTGATGTGAGCCGGTACAGCTCGGTGATATGTGAAAGTATGTGTAAAATTCAACTCAAATATCAACCGAGTTTGAAACCCTGAACCTGTATTRAATTACCCCTCAAGTTGTACGGATGTGTCAAATTTTACTCCGCTTTAGCATAAGTTTCATCATTAGGAAATAAAAGAAGTTTATGTTTAATGAGATTGGCTGGTCATTTTAAATTTCCCCTAATGTTGATTTGTTATAGACAATTTCGATAAATGCTGTAAAACTGGGKTGCTGATGGGGTGCGATACGCACCAMCCCAAAACGGGTTTAGGCACCGCATGGCGACTCTGATCTGGGACGTTGCACTGACCTCAATCCACCTGGAGATGAGCTGATWCTACCGATAACTTCGATAAAACTTTATTTTGATATTGTTTCAGATAAGGCATGATAAGAGTCTAGAAATCGGCTTTCTCTGTATCATGTGGAATGAAAATGACTCTTAGTTAAAGTGAATTCATCCAACATTTTGGCTATGGAAATGCTATGGAGTGCTGGGACTGGTATTCGGATACGCAGCGGAACACTATGAAACTCTATTTTCCGGACCGATGTTGACATCAAAACGAGCAGTCAATATCTACTATTATTAMAGAAAACGTGATTTTGTATCGAAAATATCCTGATTAGGCTTTCAGAGGTTAAGCAAAACAAACATCTCCAGGAGGCCAGGTAGCTGAAGACGATAAAGTGGTCTGAGTAGCATTAGTGCTAGTTCTTGTTTATTACTTTTATAGATATCATTCTTTTCTTTCTCTCTTTTCAAACCTAGATTAAATTAAAGAAAGGAGTTGCATAAGTGGAAATAGCACAAACAAAAGCCATTTGTTGTCAGATTTGTYTTAACCCCTGTAGCTCAATGCCTTCTTTATTAGTACCGGCAAATCCCCGGCAAGGAAAGACGTAATAATAATGCAATCTATCGTGATGTGGGTCTTTCCTTTTATTTACTATGCATGCAAACCCTTTCCCGTTTAACGTCACTTCCTGCGAGCACCTAAATGAATGCCACAAAGAAAGCCGGTTGTCTGGCCACCTCGATCGTTTACTATTTGATGAGACTGAATTAAAAGATTCACACACACAAACAAAAAAGGGGAAAAAATGGAAAGCATATCCTACTTGATGAGTTTTCCCAAGGAATTAATTTTCAGACAGTAACACCACCGATTAACACCTGCCTACCATGATCTACCATCTCTGGGGAATCCGAGTTATTTTTAAGATTTCTAATCATCGATATCAAAGAAAGTCATCACTTGTTTTGGCTGAAATTGGAATCAAAAGTATCGTGTAATTTTATGATTATCAGACCTGAGTTCACAGTTGGGGAAATCAATCGACGCCCTTCATTTACAAGCCTGAGTGTATTTACCGTCTCATCGGCGTGAAACAGAAAATGTAGARCAAAGTAATTGCTAGATTTCTTTCAATTTCTTTGTTTCCTATTGTCTTATCAACACTTTTTAGTAGCAATTTGTTTCACGGATTTATAGAGCGTCTACKCTGCCATTCCGAATTCCCATTAAAGTGTAATTTGAAACCTTCARATGATGTGTGCGACTGCAAATTGATGCGGTTGAAACACTCGGGTGGAATKTATGGAAGTTCAAGAAGCAAGTTCAAGGTTACTTTCCYGTTGCCATGGATGATATCGCGTAGGTTCTAGTCCTTTTCAAGCTGCGCTAAGACCGTTCAAGCTCAGTGTTTAATCATAGGGGGCGAAGAACAACTCATTTAAGTGCAATGAATTTGTTTATAAAAGCACGGATCAGAGAATGCAAGTTGAAACATGCCAAATGAGAAAATGCTGACATTCTTTCCGGTTCTGTTCATCTCCCTGCGCAAACGGAAACATTGAAAAAACAAAACTGATTTAGAGGCTTTGAGTAGAGTTTCTGGTGGTCAAACGTCGCATTTTACTAGAGCAAATGCAAAGCGTTTAACGTTAAATTTTGCAGATCAGTAAATCATTAGATTTAGACCATTTTCGTTGAATAAATCATARAATATAAAGAAGACAGAATTGAAAGCCAGATATCATTCCTCATAAAAAAAAGAAAAGCTATAATAACAGAGCCACATATAATTAGACATTTTTAGACGGAGCACGCGACAGTTAAGGAGTTCAGTTACAGAGGCCACAGAAGAACAAATGAACCACATGCAGGAGGCCTACTGACCTCTTCACGTTRATGCATTGTAAATCCCAGTTTGACAGAGAAACCTAAATTTAGACCAAGATTAAACATTGAAAATGTAATTAAAAAGCATATGAAATTCAGGTCCCCATTCATTTTTTGGGGTAAAAAATGGTGTAGTGTCTGAGTGTTAATATGTTGCAGGACTTGCAGTTTCGATAGAAGGAAAACAAGAGATATCTTTAATAGCAAATTAATATTTCTTTTGTTTGAAATGTTGACGAAGCTGCTGTCCTTCCATTATCTGAATTTTCCAAGGTCACAGAATCAGATGACAAGCTGAAGTGGCCACACTGCATGCAATATGCATTTTGGCACGGTTTGCAAACTTGCCATGACACAATATCACAATTAAAAGTGTTTTGGTTGAACATTTATGGAGAATATTGTTATTAAGTTTGGATGTTTATGTTGTGCAGTAGATTATTATTAAACAAGGTTGTTTTTGAGCTCGGGTAAGGAGAATWTAGCATCTCATCACTTATCAGTTTGCATAATATCGTGTATCAGCTGGTTTTCGTTTTAAATTGCTTCAATCCTTACAGGCAATTCGCTGGGAGACTTTATTTTAAGCCTATGCTTTAAAAATTTCCAATAATATCACAGTGTCTTTATTTGCTTTCATTCTAACGGCCAAGGTTCCGAATTTATAATTTTTATTAACATGTGACAACGTGACCGCAGCGAAGCACTTCATGTCACTCATCATTGTGAAAGCAGATGGCGTGACGCAAGTACTTGATGTTGAATGCGTCAAAAATGAGGATTCTATAGGATTGATTATTCCTTCTAGAGCTTTTAGAAAAGTGGTTCTAGCGATTTCATTCCGCTAAACGAAGGAATTATTAACAAAAGACGGACCCAGTTAAACAAATAGAATATTGATATGATCATTATGAAAAGAGCACTAATCACAKATGTGCAAAAAGGTTTTCTGGTCCAGAATCAAAAGAACAGATTAAATAACAATCCCTTTTGAATTCAGTGCTTAAAATTGAATTCCCTGGCTTTTCATTTTTTCAAAGGTATTTCCTTTCCATGGCTTTCATTCTTTCACAATTAAAAACCTCTTCAGTCTCTCTTTTAAATCTTAAACTTTGCAAACTAACGGTAGAAAAAATTGCCTATAGTTAAAAATAGACAAAATATTTTCCTTTTACACTGTATTGTTTATCTTTTTATGAAATGATGGAGTACGTGAATTCATCCATTGTTTTGTTCAGTTTTAAATATATGCAAAACGTGAGCGAGATTTCAGAGGAAATGGCTGTCAAAGCTGGGGAAGGCGCCTAAATAGCCGGTGGGTCACCAGCTTGTTTGACCATTTCATTGGCTTTTCCTGTTTTTTTCTCATTTCCTTTTTCAATTTATCAATACACTGCAGTGTTTCATCGAGAAAATGCTGATCCATGAAAAGAATTTTCAAATATATTTTYCTCGGGACTATTTAATTGTTTAACAATAATGAAATCTGCTGTATGTTGTTTACTAAAAAATGGTATTGGCACGTGGATAAGTGCTTACGTAACAATSACTTACAAACAGGTTTTGAGCCGGTTTAYWAAGTACCAAATCAATAAAGGTTTCCTGGACAATGAATGAACTTGACCCATTTGAAGGCCGACCTCCAAAATTAACCGTACTTCCTGTAATTTGCACAGTTCTCATTTGAATTTTTTTTTAATTTCTGAATATAAATCTGCGGATAATTCCTTTAATCGAAACGTGCTGCAGGTTTTCTATCATGGTGTGTGATGTCCCTGGACTCCCTGGAAAACTACTTCCAGGTCATTCAGTGCCTCGTGATGTTGGAGTGGTGTGGTCCGTCGTCAGCAAACGACTCTGGTTACACTGAAAATCCTGATTCACAGGATTAATCGCCTTATTTTATATGTCTGACAGTCTATGGACCGCAAACTCGGAGCCACAGGGGTCTTTGGGTGTTATAGCCMTCTATTAATCTTCCTTTCCGTAATCATTCGCTCTCGTTTTTCAATGCCTTATCCAATCAATTTTTTCCATTACAGCCATTAGATTTATTTATTTGAACTGAATTCATATGCTAATCCAAACTTCTCCACAGTCCTTGTTTGCACTTTTAGCTAGTCTCTAGGCACATATCCATGAATGAAAACAACTACAATAAACACTCGTTCACTAAATCAACATTGTAAACATGAAGAAAGTCCGATTTCTGACATCATCGCTTTAAAAAGGGTTGTTACCTTAGCAGTCTCATGACAACATTCATGCACTTTTTTAATATTTTATATCCCTTTAAAAATCGTTTAACCATTGTCCATGCTATGTAAATGAATGATATCAKTCCTTTGACTTCTTTGTCGGCTGTGCCAAAAAAATGTTGAAAAATGATGATYCCAGATTCCGTTGACTTCTTCGCATCTCAAAAATAAATCCCAAACTGACTTGAAGACTTCTCATATTCCATCCACTTCCCATTTATTCACTCATCTCTTGATTTTCCAACTCTTGAGGAAAGAAAAGCCATTTCTTGAAGATGAACTGAGGGAATAGCAGGTGTTCTGCTTTCATCTGCTATGYGCTTGATTGGATCGTTCTTTTGCATWACGTACGGGTAAACCGCTACTATTAAAGTTGGTCGTCTTGACTTGTACCTGTTAGCAATGAAAATTATTCATYACTGCCACTTCCACTATAGGATCATTTGTCCAGTCAAAATACAATAGTTACTAAATTACCTGTCAGTAAGATATTTTTCCAGGGTTTTACTTGCTTTCTTTGTAATATCACAACAGATAATAACACAGATAACCTTTTTACACTAAGATAAACAGTAAAAAAAAGTTGACCTTTGTAGAAAACAATATCCATAAAAGAACTATTATTTCATATTTTTGAATTTTTTTTTCTTTTTTCAGTAGCCTGAGTATCAGGCTATCTCAAAGGGGTTTGGGGCGATCAGGCTATTTTTCAGTGGAAATCTTTTCCTTTGAGCACATATTTAGTAATTTTATATCCTCTGTACAAACACCTTGCAGTTTGTGGGAATACAACAACAACTGGAGGAYAAAACAATGGATTCTAGTTCCCAAGAGGGCAAAAMTCTTTTGTTTCATCCTCCAGATGMTGCTGCTTTGACGTCACATGCAATTGGTCTATCATCAATTTCCCATMTTTGTGGCCATGTTCTTGTAACTTTTAGGCTTCCAATCATCTCAAGAACGATTGCCTGTGGAACTAYKATACTGTGGAGCTTACCTGATTCATCCAAGSTGCAACATGATCTGCAGCTAGAGTTCCACTTCTAACTTTCCAACAAACTCTCTCTAGCTGGTGCATATTGTGTAGAGCTTGTAGAAATGTCTTGGTTATACAGAAGTATGGTTGTTCTAGCCTTTAGTTTAAACAGTAAGAAAAAACATTRAGCTGCAAAATAGCTGCACTAGCTTGAATACATCCAGGACAAAGGATGAGTAAGGAACAGATCCAGAAATKTATMAWAGGTGTTTGGCCTGTGTTGACAGTGGTCGGCAGTTTTAGGGGCAGCWAGAAACCAYAGACTGCTGGCAATGYAATGGAGGCTAGGTGGTGAACTAAAGTTGTCAGRGGGAGCTCTGCAACCACAGGCTTCTCAATCCTCAACAAGATCAAACATCAATTGGGAGACRATGGGGAAATGTAATCCTTTTTTTAAGATTGGAAATGATAACATGTAATGMTGTAAGTGCTATTGTATAGTACCAAAATGAAGTATAACTCTTGTTGCCAGATGCCATAAACATCAATCTACAATTGTAAAGGTCTCTATATATTTTGTTCTAATCTTACCTAAAATCCTTCAGGCTATGACAAAAAGTCAAAGCAGTATTCAAGTGAGCAATGTTACCAGAGTGACTTAAAGCAGGACCTTTCAGGTTTGCCAAAGATAACTTTGACAGTTTTGTGCAGCTTTGACATATTGTGATCAGAAATTCACTGTTGCCCGTTACCTGAAAGCCTGAAAAATAAAATTTAATAAATAAATAAATAAAAGTATATTACTTAACTTACTTATTATTATCATCTCATCTTATAGTATGACATTTGACCCAAGCATTATTTAATTAAATTAATTTACCAATATTAATATAATTAAATTCACTGCACCCTAAAAAATAATGTTCAACACATTCTTGTAAGCACTGACTTCTCAGTTTCACAAAAGAAAATTGAAGGCTCAGGGTGGAGACGAAAGAGATTTGATTGGTTCAAAAATTCCCATGTGCAATAGTATGCCTATATATGGTAAAACACAGATTTTGGGTCTTCGTGTATTGTCTCCAAGCACACCTTTTGATCCTTCTCCATTGGTTGAAAGAGAAGGGTATTGGGACAAGAATGTGGTAAACATTAAATTCCAATACCTGCAAGAGTAAGTTTCCTTAGATATTTCCAGTATGATATGGAYTCTAGCTGTTCAGATGATATACATGGACAAGCTACTTCTCTGCAAAAAGCACAAATATAATCTAAATGACCAAGTGTTTCCTTGAAAAACAGTTGCCAGTCTCACCTGTAATCAACTTCATAACARTGAGTTGCTCTGGTCCTTATTTTTTCAATCAGTTCAAACTCTGTTATAAATCTTGTGGAACTTGCTAGTGTTAACAATGGATTGCTTATTGGTTCCTCAACATCTTGTGGTATTTGATGATCTTCTGAATATCAAAACAATTTCAGATACTGCAAMTGTAATGATTACTAATATATAAAAAAGCCTTAAAATAGTATAGATTATTGAAGTCATGTCAAGTAACAAAAAGCATGCTGCTCTTCCCCTTCTTTAGGGAGAATTCCTCCTTTATGCCCTATCTCAATGTCGGACCATATTAACATGTTTAACATGTCTCTTCATTAAAAGCTGTATTTTCATGTTTTTTATTATCTTGTCATGATCCTGGCCTTCACTGGAGACAATATTGATGTGATGTAATAGTGAAATAGGGCAAGAATTGAAAATATACCTTGATTTTCTTCATCAGTACTWGTTCTCAAACAGCATGGGTTTAAAGCTAGTGATTGCAGTCCAACACACTTAGTAATCATCCTGATGGTCTTGTAGTGTTTGCATTTATACCTTCCATAAACCAGTACATTGTCAATCAGTAGATTCAAGTTTTTTAGTGATGACTGACACCTCTCAACAATCTCCTCCAGCATTTCCAACTAAAACAGAACATTATTAAATCAATAGGAATAATGTTTTCCTAGCCCCTATGATGGTTGCTATAAATTGCATATACCTGAAGGAGATAGCAAGACTCAAGGTCAATTGTCTCCAAGATACTGCTTTGAATTCCATCCAGAAATAAACTTTGAGGTAATGATACATTAGTTAAAGAAACATGCTTTAGGAATCGACATCCGAATAACAAGCCAACAATGACTGACATTTCTCCTTCAGACTCGAATTCAAATCCTGAAATCCTCAATTCTTCAAGATTTTCAGACAAAATACTATGCTTAAAGTATGTATCATTTTCACAGGTGCTTTGATGTGCTTCTAGCATATAGAATGATTCAGATCGTGATAGTTTTAAAGCCTTGAGATTACATAAGCAAGATGAAAATGGTCTGTTTRCAACTGGGTCTCTGTTCTCGTGTGGTACTACTAATTGTGACTGATCGACAACAGCATATTTGTAGAACTCTTGGTGGAAACTACTATTTGAGCTAACTATTGTAACTCCAACATTTTGTATATCTTGTAAGCCATGAATTATCTTAAGAGCACCTAAACCTGGTGCACTTACATGCAGAACAATATGGATAGAAGAGAGATCTTTAAAAAATGGGCCAAAGAATATAGATGACATATCYGTGTTTGAATCAATCATAAATGGACATCCAAGGTGTTGTAGCTTTGTCAATTTYTTAACCAAATCCATAACATTTGCAGTTGATATAATACAACCGTTAATATCCAAAGATATTAATTTACAGCATTTGWTGAGGCATTTTATTAGTTGTGACTGCTTTAGCCAATAGCAATCCTGMAGGTTAATGCGAAKAATGAACTTGCTGTTTTGRCTGATGTACTTGCAAATGGCTTCACTGGGGATGYACCATGAGTGTTTGAATGAAACATTYCTAGAAAAATAACATTCAATGTTTCTAATTATCAATACCATTATTATTCATAGCAAGTATGGTAATTAGGATAAGGCACTAATGGGGTAGTAAATTCCMAAAAAATATTCCTGCCAAATTTCCAATAGAATCTTTGCAACTTTATCAAAATAAAATTAGAGCGCTTCCTTAAAAAAAATTCTGTACCAAATCATCCCTCCTCCCTCCCCCCTCCACTCCTCAMAWGTCACATGGCTAGCCCCCTCCTATTATGGTTTTGGCTCTCTGTGGTTATACAGTGAAAATGTGCACAAGACATGTTTTGCCACTGTATCGAAATGTAGTTTTGGTAATGAAATAAAGTAATTCATGACCACCATTCACCAACTTGTTGAATGATTTCTGGGAGATCCAGGTACGACTCTGGAGTCTTACTTAATGTTACTCAAAATCAACACCATTTACATGTAATACATCAGAKAAAGAATCAGAGAAATTTGCTTCATATTCACGGAATGTCTTGATTTCAAATTAAACAATTTTTTAATCATATAGATATTTGTGGCCWCAAGAGATCTAATCAAGATGGCGGCATTCAGCAGGTCATGAGGAGAAGTGCGGCCAAGAAAGGTTTTTCTTACCTGTGAAGTGCCGTCGTTGATGAAAAGAGRTTTCTCAGACGAAGGCACACACAAGATAGTCGTATCTTCTCTGCAGTAGATAGAAAATCAAAGATTATAATAAGAACATCATCTGGAAGAAGTTCCATCTTCGTGAATACCGGCAAATGTTGGAGCTCCTGTTTAATTCTATCACACAGGAAACCCAATCGTTTTGAAAAAAACGTTCTTTCCAGAGTTTCACAAATTAGGAATTTTTTTCTTTYAAACTTCTGAAATAACTGAAAAAAGAAGTAAAAAATGAATGCGAAAGAGTTTGAAAGAGTTCTCTCTAACACATGGATTCATTTCTGTGCTCTAGGATTCCTGTTGTGATAGATAATGAGSAGGACTAAGTAGGATGCTTTCCATATTTGGTAATCAGCCATTCAAACGGTCAACAACCGCCATTTTTGAATCAAGAGCTGCTTCGAATCCAAAGGCATTTTGTTTTTGTTGTAATTTTAACACCAGCAAAAGATAAAGGTATCTTTGAATGTGCTGAAAATACCAAGAATTTATGAGTTAGTCTCGATTTACATCGACAGTGAATTGATATACGACTATCAAGACAAAATGGGCGACGATAATTCACTGGATTCTAACGTATCGACTTCACGTGCCAATGAAGGTTTGTAAAGTCTTAACTGTCATCGATATACCAGCATATAATAGTAATGTCTTCTTTGATTTTTATTTGAAAAGATGTTTTAAATGCTACTGGTGTACGGTGTACGAAAAATTAACGCGTCCCCAGAAAGGGAACGTTCTTTTTAGATCGATAAGATCTGTAGCTGTAGGCAAAAATTCATACTAAAATCATTGGGATTTTTGTTTTATCCAATGTTTTGTATTTAATYTTACACCAAACAAGGAGCAAATTTTTTTTAGACGTTAAATACAGTGATGTTGTATAGCAAACTTATTTCTTATTTTGTAATTTTAAAAGTTAAAATGACACCTACATGTWCAAATTGTTTATAATCTTTGTTGCTTGATAAATATCGAAATTCATAAATTCTTCAAGTCTTATGAAATAATCTTTGTTTTCAGTTCATAGTGTCTCAGGAATGGAGACAACAGTTTGTCTTGTAGGAAAGAAAAACATCGAAAATGAAGAACTTAAAAAAGCTCTTGAGGTATTAAATGATCTTTATTGTCATTTGTATGTAAATGATTTTTCAGCAAATTGGAAGATTTGCTACAAATTTTCCTTTCTTTCAAATGAGTTTATGAAAGAGATGTGATTGTGTCAGCTCTGTGTGAATGTCTGTGCATGACTGYAGCATCAAACACTGGATTTATGCATTATGAAATTTCCCTTATTCTATAGGTATTAAACCTCAAAGTTATCACAACAGAAGACACAAAGGAGACTTTAAAGACACTTGACGATGATGTTGAGACTGTCTTTGTYTGTGATCCCTTTGAAGGAGATGACTTCCTTAACTTACACAAAGAGGAACAAAGAATTATTGGACCTCCTATTGTACTATCATGTGCCAAGAACAACCARCCACTTCCATGYAATTCCAGACCTCTGTATTGYTCYACTATGGCCAACCACATYATTTGTTTCACTGGATTTAAGAAGAAGGATGARATGGGAAAGYTGTGTAATTTGGTGCACCACATGGGTGGTAGTATTCGAGGRGAACTCAGTGGACGTGTCACTCATCTTGTAGCTTGCTCAGTTCATGGGCACAAGTATGGGGTAAGATACATTTTGTATCATTACAAAGGAAATAATGCGTTTTCAGTATACATGTATTGTACAAAACAACTGATCAATAAACAAACTTCTAGTGAAAGTTTGCTCAAAGTTGCCTTGATACATTACCATTACATATTTCCCAATACATGACATGCATTTGTATGCACAATCTTCTGATCATCCACTCTACATTTTATAAATAATTTACCAACACAGGATCTATTTCAAGTATCCGCACTCATAATATTACATAGTTGTATAATAAACTTTTCATTTTGATGTTAAACTATTAACACATTGCAGGCTGCTGTAAGYTTRGGAAAACCCATYATGACAGTRGATTGGGTTTACACATGCTGGGAGAAAAGATTTGAATTGTATGTACAAACACCTTCAYATTTCCTCACTATAATGTTTGTCATTCAGCATTTTTCAATCTTATTTTGTGATTTGCAGGGATTTTTCTGGATCAAATCAAGAAATGGTAAGCAAATTTATCCATCACTAGGGAACTAAGATAGTATAATGATTTGTGYAGTTGTTTTCAATCTTTTTTTAAAAAATAACTACTGTGAATAATTTGTTGCCATGACTGTGTTTTRCAGGATAAGTTTAAAATGGCACCTTTTTATGGATTGTGTTTGAGTTTTTATGGCTTTTCGGATGAGGAAAAGCACCACATGGAAGAATCCACTGAACAGCAAGGTAAATTCATCTTCTAACAAATAATTGGCGGTTTTGAATTCAACATTTTTATTGAATTTCTTGATCAATTTATAAGATTGWAATAACATGGCAATGATATTTTAGGAGGCAAATTTGTTGATGCCAATGATGATCAATGTACTCACTTAGTAGTAGAAGATGGAGTGAAGGAACTACCGACTGATATAAGTGGGACAAGAAAATTATATATTGTCAAGCAAGAGGTAACGAAACTCAGCTCTCTTTAAAGGGCTACTTGGACGAAAATTGCGAAACATTAGAAAAGACTTGGAAATCAAATAGACCTATCCATATGGGTGTAATAATCATGAAGCAACAGATTTCAAGAAAATATTGATGCAAATCCTTAACAATTCCCGCAATTGTTTTTAATAGATATTTGTGTGTCATATATTTGTATTGCTTGAAGTTTTGAAATAGGACCATTTTCATGCAAGTAGCACTTTAAGATTGTATAATGAAGAGATATATGGCTTTTGATTTGCAATATATATATGGCTCTAGATTCCTTGTGTTTCTTGATGACAGAGAAAAGAAATAGTCCTTTTTCAGAATCAGCTGCAACAGAGTCTAATACCTTTCCAACGCTTAGCAATTTACATTAGAATTATTACAATATTAATTTATCGTCAACTGTTATCACAATCATCGGAATCATCATCATTGGTATCATAGTCAGTATAACTATAATTGATGTTGTAATAAAAATGTGCTGCCACCTACAGGCTCTATTGAATGTTCCATGGTACAGTCTTTNTCTGTTGATGAGAAGGGCGTGGATTACGAGCAGGTCGAGAGCGTATTATCACAGGCATGTTATATGAACTTTTTAAACGTTTATTGCGATTGCTTTGACGTTTTGACATGATTTTTCCGTAAATCTATCGGTAGTTTCTGTGTTGCTTTCTTTGGCGTTTCCTGACTACATGTACTACATTTGTACATTAAAAAAACACACTTATGTGTGCTAAACAATTTGTAGTTCCACTGCATACAAGAAACGGTGATGGAATTTAAAAACAACTTTTAAAATGTATTATTATTAGATATTGGTTAGTGAAATATTTCGCTTTTCGGCGTGACAGACCTTTAAATGTTCGTGATAATGGCCCTATTTAATCATCAATGTTGTAATCGTAATTGAAACWTAATTTTGTTACCGTTGTGTACTCTCARTGGATGCTATTTTRAAATAGTCGGTTTTTAAGTTTTCTTTAGAGTTTTGTTGTTGCTTGAATKTTTTTGTTTAGCTTGAYATGRAGCTTAGAATTTCTGGAAGTACTTCTAGTAATTTRCGCGCATTTTCCAGTAAACAGAAAACATTTCATTTATGTAATCCACGTGTTAYAGAACTTACAGTGAAACTACATATAAGTGTACCAACAACGTCAGATCTTGCAGTTCGATTTAGTTTTACCGAATATAGTTCATTGATCATAGATTCTCAAAGTTGGCAAATTCTCCTCTATAACGTTGCCAGCCGGARTGTATGTTTTGTTCTACTWGTCAATATRAACCACCTGTTGAAGGCTACTTGAAAAATATGGCAACTCTGTTCGATGGTTAATATGCATGACCTCTTTTTGGCAGATTTTTCGGATATTATTGAACCAAATCATTATATAACGACGTGAACTTCCCACAGTACTATTACTTGTCTAGTTCTTAATTGTCATGATTTCTTATGATTTGGTTAAAAAATGTCAACTGAAGTTAGTACAGTGTTTATCAATGTAGCCGTGATTCTAGAGCAAGCGTTTTTACAAGTATTTTTCGTTGATATTTAATTAAGGGAAAACGCACAAAGGACATCTGGTAAGCATTCATAGATTTTGTGTTTATTGAACGTAGTAGTAGATTTTGTTTTGCGGTCTTATAATGACTACAAGAAATAGTGATAAAACACCATAAAATATAGAAAAACAACACCGCATTCAGGATAATTAAGATACTCTTTTTAAAAAAATATTGAACTTAGACGAGGGGTAAGTTTTACTACGTTCGCATAAACGTTTTCCTGGTAAAACAGAATTCAGTAGGAAAAGTATTTCACACTGTTTCTTTACTAGATTGGTTTTAATATATAGACCTTATACTGTATGTGTATAGTGATGTACTATGATAAAAATACTTCCGCATAACCCCTTTGACGTGTTAATCACCTGTTGTTGACTGTAACAATGCAAATTAATGTTGCTTTTGTTGTTTTTAGTGGTTCTGGGCYAGTATTCACATGGATGGGTGCGCGGACGAGTCTCTCTATCCMTTCACTGCTGCGGTGTGTATAACTATATTTTCCTGTCTCAATTTTAAACGTCTTCCGGTTGTGAAACGGATGTTTTAAAAATCCACATCAAATCAAAGGAAAGATAATTAGGATGATACCACACAATAACTATCATGTTCAAAATAGATCTTCCAAATCAATTTACAAGGGTATGATACATTCTACAAAATTCAATAATTACAAACATCTTAAAATATTATAATAACCTTAACTATAATAAAATCAGTTGTTTTCGATTTTATTCATCGATAGCGAAACTTAAAACTCATACTGTACATTACGGTACATTGTTAATTTTCACTGAATGGCGTAGTTTTACTGTTTTCTTAAATACTCAGCCACGTGACCAAGTCGCCAAGCAGAAGACCCCATCAAGTAACGGACGAAAGAGAAAGCGGAAGAAAGTCAAGGAATCGGACATCAGCGACCTACTCTCTCCAGACTCCCCTCTCTTTAAGAATAAGAGGAAGAGTGGTGACTTGTTATCTGTTTCTGGATCTCTACTTGACTACACGCTTTTATCACCCTCAACACCAGGACGAGGTCAGTAGGTTCATATTTGATGAAAGCCTATTTTTATGGGTCCSYAAAAWAGCTTGATTAAGACTCATTAGACACCTTTCTGTGGTGCCCGCTTTCATCGAGYATCTCTTCCTAATTCTCGATAATTCAAATACTTTGATATCTCGAGCACGAAAACTATTTAAAAACAAATAAAGAAAGCTTCACAGTAACTGTATCTTGTCATGAATCTTTAGGCGATGGGACACCCAGTGGAACAATTACGCCTCTTAGTACACCCAAACCCCTTCCCTCAGCAAGACAACAAGTTACAATGGAGCTACTCCAAACAGAGAAAAACTATGTAGGAATACTCACTACTATACTTAAGGTAACACGTTTATTTGTTGGTTATTAGAGTTTTAGCAATTGTAGGAGAAGGTTGGTTTTMAATTAATTGCACGTTGTACTCCATGCATGTGATATTAAGAATTTGAATTGCTTTAACGTTTTGATTTTTTTATCATTCGTTTATAAGTTTGCTTATTCCAGTATTTATTCTATTTCAGGTTTTTAAAGAACCATTAGAGACTGACCCACGCGGTCCCATCATTCCAAGCGAGAGAATCAAAACCATATTTGGAAGTCTTCCTGACATCCTTGAAGTCCATACCAAGATTCTAGTAAGTGCTACGTAAYTCAATAGTTAGTATCTGTGTAGCCAGAGAAACKCAAATCCCTCGGAGCGGATARGAACKCCTGGTTACGTAGGCTAACACCAAAAAATTGCCAATCTCCTTGTTGGATTTTTATAAGTGAAGCTCGTAATGATAAGCTTATTATTTTCATTTTACAGAGTGAATTAGAAGAGATTCTATCATCATGGTCAGACGAAAAGTGTATAGGAAAAGTTATCCTTAATCATGCTGATGTACTGTGTAGAGTTTACCCGCCRTTTGTCAACTACTTYGAGATGTGCAAAGAAACAGTTACCAAATATGACARAGAAAACCCTCGCTTYCACGCCTTTCTTAAAGCCTGTCTAAGTAAGRCAGAATGTGGACGACAGTCATTGGCTGAATTACTGATTCGACCTGTACAGCGGTTACCTAGCATGAATCTATTGTTATCAGGTACAGTTGCCTCGTTTGAGATTCTTTCTTGATGGAAGGGAAAAAMGGGTCAAGTCTTCTGGGAGGTCCCCGGTCTGTCTACATTCATGATTGGACGGGCAGYGCAGGAAAAGGCAGCCMAGTCATCTAGGACAGAWAAACTAACGTCTCGTGACAATTTCACGTCCACGAACACTTTGTGTTTKTTATATTTTRTTCCTATTGGTTGCCGAGTTGGTGMATTACATAATTGTATGTATGTTCCTTTTTGTAGATATTCTGAAGAAAACAGACAARATGAATCCTGACTATGTCACGTTAATGCAAGCAATCGATGCACTCAAGAATGTCATGATGTAAGCTAACAAAGCTWTTTTAKCGCGCAAATTTCGTTWYGGCGTGTTGGTGTATTTCTTCCCTTTAACTCGTGCTTGTATCTTGTTAGGCACATCAACGAAGAYAAGCGTAAAACAGACGGTCAAGTTCAGATGTTTGAAATACTACGAGATGTCGATGGATGTCCTGTATGTGGTTCTTGCTCACTTCGTTTTCCATTTTTATTCTTTCGTCATGTTAATATGCTTTTTCCCATTTTCTCGGTKTTATCCCTCCATTGTTTCCTGTACTCTTCTTTCATCTCAAATCTCCATTTTCTCGCCGAACAGTGTACTTTCTTGCTTTCTTCCTCTTTCYCAGTGTTTCCCCATTTGACCTTTTCKTCCYTATTCGTGTTGTTTCCATTTATTACATTTTTCTCATTTTCATTCATTKAGACTACGATTGCCTACATTTCTTATTTCCTTTTTTCATATTTTAAATCTAATCCTACTCTAAATACCTCTAGGCGTACATCCTATCATCCCATCGTAGTTATGTAACGAAAGCAGACACGTTTGAGCTGGGAGATGGTTTATGCGGTAAAGGCGAACCGGTCACGATATTCCTGTTTAACGATAGTCTCGAGGTACCTATGAATCCATTCATTTATTCCATCCATCCATTCATGTATTTTTTATCGAACCATTAATGATTAATCTACAATTCTCCACTTTTCAGTCCATTTTATCCCAATTTTCTACTTCTCATCCATTCATTTATTACTTTCTTCCATTCATTGGGAATTCTTCTATTAACTTATTTATCTATTCATTTTCACTTCCCATTCATTTATTTTCATCCATTTATGTACGTTAGATGACCAAACGGCGTGGTATTAAGATGAATCGTGCTATGAAAAGTCCTGCWGCTGCACGAACACCACAGAAAGCATACAAACACGTCGAGTTTATACCTTTGTCACACGTCAGAAGAGTGGTCGATATAAGGGATAATGAAGGTAATAAACTTAAAATAACAGTCATCTCTCGCTATTACCGTCACCCTCGGGACCGTAATTAAGTGTCCGCAGTAGCGGAAGTCCGTAGTAACGCGAGTTACTTTCAGTCACTCCTCTGTATTTTTCGCTGGGGATTCAGTATTTTACTGTCYGCAATATCGAGGTGTCCGTTGTAGCGGGGTGTGCGTAAGGCGAGAGTTGACTGTATACGAAGTACAACTGTAATGTACAAGTACGAATCTAATTTGGATATATCCTATCTTTTTAATACTTTCAAGAATATTTATCTTATTTTCATATTGTTGAATTTCTAATGATTTTCTTTTCTATTKTGTATAGATTGTCAGAATCTATTTGGTATTATCTACCGTGCCTCTAATGATATGAAAGAAAAGCTGTTGATGTTTAGACTTATCAGCGACGATATCACCAAAGACGAATGGCTTCATAAACTCACCATGGGGCTAGCCAATACTGCYTGTACTGCTGATACTGTAAGTCCAAAACCTGACTTCTCTACCTTCCAGACTGTTTCTGACGAATGCAAACGTAAAATGATGAAGTTTTCCAGGAACAGTTTGCAAGGGARGTTAAAAAACAAGGCACTCATTTTTTKATCTGTGTTAATGTATTAWRCTAATGTATTATAGTGTGGCCTTGGTCCATTCTTGTGWRWRTKTWTWKTKTTYTSWKAYCTTCATAGGAAAACTTTGTGACAACAGTGGACCCTCAAGAGCTTATGATCAGCAAAAGTGATTTCTCGACGGGTACTCTGGGTAAAGCCTTGAGGTATTTTTTTCTCATTTATTCAATTCATTTATTATTATTCTCATTTACTCTCATTGTTGTTTATTGGTGAATAAGATGAATATTTGATTTACAGAGTGGCAAAGCGAACAACCAGGAAAGTAAGTCGAGCGCTATCAATGAATAAAACACCACGAAAGAATGGAATTGTGAGACGGTCATCGTCAAGGTTTGTTGCTGTTGTCGATCATCATGTGTGGCACACGATAGGAAATGTCAAGCGACGCCATTTTGTACAAAGCATGATAGGAGTTCATTTGCGCGAAAACAGTCCTTATAAGCCGCTTTTTTTTCTTTGTAAATATAGAAACACTTGTACCGTATTTACTACCGTATCTATTTAGAAAACAGATTTAAGTGGGAGGGGGAGGGGATTCTTAGTGGCTATAATGGCTATTAGCATGGTTGTTTCGCACATTACTGTTGTTGGCGCTATTACCATTATCTGAGCAACATATTTGTTATTATCATCGATTTCATCATCATAATGATTATCATCAATKAACATCTTCTACGTTCTTTCATTTTAGCGTTACCCCAAAAGCCGATCTATTCGCTAGTGCCAGTCCGCTACTAACATCATCCAAGTATAAYCAAAATCTACCATTAGGGGCACGGGGTCGAGCAATGAGTGTTTGTGAGGGACTGGTAAGTAAAAACTTATTGTATTTCGGAATATTCACTCCGGCTATGTCCAGTTTTCTTTCGCTTTGTTTCATGTTTTATTTGCTTCTGGCATAGTAGTTAGATTTAAGGAAAACAAGAAAAGGAATAAAAATTCAATCAAAGTGTTATTCATGATGTGATTATTATTTTTCTATAGGATTCAGAGCTAGTAGAAGTCGATGTAAAAGTMCGAAGGTCGATGTCAATCAGCGAGGAACGTTAAGTGGMATATTKTACAATACTGTTAATACGAAGAATTATCGAGCATCGCGGTCTACCTTTCCACCATTGCGCCAGAAATTASAACTAATGCARTAATAACAAATAACGATTCAGTCGTTATGATGATCTCAATGTCAACCAATGGCTGCTCGACGAGGTTCGCCATCACTTGTACCCATTGTACTACGATGCAAAGCTGACAATGCACGCTGCTTTTTTCCCGTTTTCGTAGTAAATTATTTTTTTCCTAGCCAGCATAAGATGTCAGGTTTATCATGTCAAGAAAATTTGTCAAATGAAAAGAAGTTTGAATTCTCAGGRGCATCTGTCTTTAGCTTTGCAAGACTGTGATGTAAAATTGCAATTTCTGGAACAAAATTTAGAAACTGCTACGAGCGGCGGGAAAAAAACTATAGTGTGCATTGCGGGCAATCTAAGATGTTAACGTTTTTCGAAGCTTTCCTTCGTAGTGTTCCAAGGAAATTTGAACGGTACAAAACAATATAAGGACATGTTCTTAACTTTTTGTTGACCCGCAGTACCTAACAAGAATATGTATTGAAAGGTGCGCGAAAGAAAAAAGGAATGTGTAATACTGTGCTTATCTGTGGGTGCCTTTCGCTTGGAGAACCTCCCGAGCCCCTAGTATAGTCAACTCTCGCCTTACGGACACTCTCCTCTATAACGGACACCTCGATATTGCGGACAGTAAAATACTASAATRCTAAAATACAAAGAAATGACTGAATTAAAGTAACTCTCGCTACTGCGGACACTAAATTACGGTCCCGGGGATGTCCGTAATAGCGAGAGTTGACTGWATTGAGCATTGAAAAAAGTGTAAATATACAGCGATTCTTTTTATACTGTGTAGCGATAGTACATGAGCAATTGATTGTTGAAATATTAGATTATCATAGTTATATAAGATAAAGAAATGAGTATTGGATATCTTCAGTTAATTGTCCAGAATTTGTTGGGTGTTTATAATGTTTCTGGTTGGCTTTTTATCGTCATTACTTTGGTATTTTTTTTTACATTTTTTAAAAGTATTTTGATATAAGTAATGATAAATTTGTCTTCATAACGTTCTTAACTGAGCTGAAGGATTTGAAGAAACTTTCAGTTGCTAGTGAATGCAATGCTATTTAAAAAACTACCTCGTTATATTCGCTTAGATATACATAATTACAAACTGAATCAAGCCAGTGTTGTGCGAAAGGCACAGACTGTCGCTCGTTCAAGCAAACATCACTGAAGATCTAATTATAAGACAGACAAATGAAGAATACCATTGCAATGATCATGTAAGCAATACCAGATGCATTAGCATGCATAGCTGTATTAGGCTGCATCTTATCTGCAATCCTTGCATAAATGCGTGTGGGTCCTCCACTTCCWYCTTTGATCTTCATGGGCGCTACCATGACTTCAAACCCTCTTGGAGGAAGAAGATGAAGGTTGGCGGTCATTTCTATTCCAGGAACACCAGCTCCAAGCAAAGCAAGATGTGCTGGAAAACCATTGAGGGTGTTTCTACCCGAATCAAAGGATGGTGTATCAATACCAAAGACTTTRATGTTTCTTTTCTTAATTAGCCACTTTGCAGCACCCGAGCTAAGCCCTAAAGGGAATAAAAAATGTTATACCTTCTTGCTAACCACGACTGCTGAACTTCCTGGCTATTCGTGTGACTGGGATGTTTCGGGCGATAAAACAATGAAACAACACATTACCTGGGAAATTGAAGGTTGAAGCATTCTTTGTGTCATTCGTTCCAAAAAACTTGACTCGATCAGGATAAAACTTCCCCCAACCCGARTATAGGAACACGACTGGCTCGTCTGGCATCCGTCCATGTTTCTTCTCCCAGTCTTCTAAGTCACTTATTTCCAGSTCTGCATTTGGATCTTTCTTGGCCTTTGCAGAGATATCCACAACGACTCCCTCTCCAACCATTCGGTCGATCTGAATCTTCTCCAATGAAATCCCATCTTTARTGAAGTGGTTGGGTGCATCGATGTGGGTTCCACCATGCTCWCCWGCTCCATAAGCAAAAGACAAAAMATATGCTCCATGGTATTCCCCTCGTAAAATAACCTTATGTTGAAATGGAGTATTGGCAGGGGCAGGCCAGTAAACCGTTTCGTTCACAACAAAAGGGTATGACAGGTCGATCCATTTGGTTGGGGCTGTAGTGACGATCATCACACCAATGACAGCGAACAAGAAAGTGCTGATAATCATCCCTTTGCTCTAAAAGAAAGAATAATATTTCAAAAACTCATTAATTATTCATGAGGTATTCAGCCAATCCCTGATTGTAATTTGTACCACGTGAAGTAACTTGAAACCAGAGGAAGTACTCGTACCTTGTATTCTACCTTATTTCCAGTTACTTCTACCTTTTTCAAGTTACTTCTACATTATTTCCAGCTATTTCTACCTTATTTCCAGTTACTTCTACCATGTTTCCAACTACTACTAGCTAATGATAATCAAATTATTAGAAATAATCAGTTTAACATTAATTTAGTGAAAAAAGGTCTTTGATACATGACTCCCTCACGACTCGATCCCCTACCGTCCAGTCTATATGCGCCGTCTTATACCATTACACCACCGAGTTTCTGATGCGATTCCTCGGAAGATAACATACTTATAAATCTTATGGATTAGGCTCATTAGGAATGCCATGAATAGCAGACAAAGACAATTTGAATAGCTTTTGTTTCAGAAAGCCGTCCGGGAATTGAAGAACAACAAACGGTGCTTCATGTATTCAAAATTATGAAAACTGAAAACCTTAGTGGAGATGCAATAAATCAATATATTTCTGTTATATGTATTTCCTTCGCTTTTTTTCCCTCCCGAATAATTAATGAGTTTTTGAAGTCGTTCAAAGGCCTCCAATTCGGACTTGACGGGATTTCAAAGTCCTTGCAATTAGTTCCAGTCCTCGGCTAGCGCCTCGGACTGGAACTAATTGCGCGGACTTTGAAACCCCGTCAAGTCCTCATTGTCGGCCTTTAAACATTACTTCAAA